TCAAAGGGGTGACGCTCCCACACCAAGAATCAATGGACGTCCTGGCGTCTCAGGGTTGGGTTTCTCGTGAAAGGTTTCTTGTGGTCGGGCCCCCACTGTATTCCAAATCTCGTCATACAGGAGAGGGGGGTCACAACCCTCCCAGACGAGCAAATTCTGACCCCCATCCCCCAGACCAGCCATGAAGGGGCGGCCTACTGTTGCCCAGACCCCACCAGAACCCTCCAGGACCGCCCAAACCAGACCCCCCCCAAGTGTGACCCCTCCCACTCCATTACAAAATTCTGAGCACATAAAACGCGAGACTTCGGAGTCCGCGCAGATGCCTCGGGTCGGCGCTGGAGCCCGCTGACGGCGCCTCCAGCACCGCCCGTTGGCGCTCGGCCGCGCGCCAGGCAGGGGTCCAGGGTCCGATCTGGGAGACGGACCCCCGAGGTTTCATGCTTATGTCACTGCTTGCCCCCTGGGGAACTGGGGATGGCAGAGGATGGGGGGGGGAGGTGGGAAAAGGCGTCGAAGTGTCGCCGCCCTTCCCACGCGTGTCCGCCTCTCTCTCTGGGGCCTCCCGGGAGGCGCCCTCGGTCGCCCACGGCTGGTCGTTTCTGCCCAGCAGCCTTCGTCCACAGAAACGCAGCCCCAGAAAAGAGTTCTGGGGAGGCGAGTGGTCTAGGGACCTTTTGCCGCCCCCCCCAGACTGGGGGAGGAGGGAGGAGGGGAAGGAGCGAGGGACAACGCGCATCTGGGAGCCAGGGGAGGGCCCGGGGGCGGAGGAGCCCCAGAGGGGAAGCAGAGGGCAGGAGGGCGGAGGCATGCCCGCGCAGGGGGGGGAGGGGGGGGGATAGAAGGCAGAGGGATACAGTGAGCGGCTTGAATCAGGAACACTTGCTTTTCAAAAGGGGCTCGGTCGTTCCTTATATTCGACATGCGTCACTTACAGTTCCTTATGCGTTATCTATTACTTCTCGTTCCTTCTGCGTTATTCCTTGGGATAAAAAAGGGCCTTCGTTCCTTATTTATCGTTCCTTAGGTCAGGCCGATGACTGTAAGATCCGAAGGAGCAGGGGATGGCCGGGGACGCGGAACGCAGGACGCGGGGCGCAGGAGACGGGGGTCAATGCAAACGGGGGTCGGCCAGAGCGCTGGATCCTTGCAGGATCCTGCAGGGCCAGGGCTGCACTGACCCGGGTCTGGGTGCAGGATCCTGCAGGATCCCTCGCGTCGGCCCGGGCTTGGGCGCAGGATCCTGCTCGCGAGCCTGCAGGATCCTGCCTGCAGCTTGACTGGCCCGGGCCTGCCTTGCCCCGGGTCAAACGCTATCCCCGCGGGACGCGGGAGGCCGGGAGCTTTTGCAGGGGGGGGGGGGCGGAGGCCGCCGGCGAGCGAGGGCCACGAGGAGGACGGGAGCATGCGGGCGCGAGGGCGAGCAGCGCTTGGGCAGCGGCCAGCGCGAGGGAGGGCGGCCGAGCGGCGCCCAAAGAGGCGCGATCGCGGCGCGCCCGGAGCCCGCCCGGCCGCAGGCATCGGCGGCAGCAGGAGCCTGCACGGCCCGAGCGCCGGCAAGGACAAGGGCCTGCAGGGCCTGACCGAGGCCGCCGAGGCGCCGCGCCTCCGCGCGCGCCGCCCCCGAGCGTGAATTACCTGCCCCGCTTTCGCTTCCAGGCAAAACCAAGTCATGCCACGCGCCTCCTCGTCGAGCTGCCTGACCAGTACAGGCCGTCGTTTGGCATCGCTCGGTATCTCTTGGGAGCGAGGGTGGTCAAAAGCGAGGGAGGTCTGTTTGCCCCCCAGGAAGGTCAGGGCGCGGCGCGGCGCGGCACCGTCGGGGGGAGCGGTTGCTCGGCGAGTCGCGGCGCGCGCTCGGCCTGCGGCGCTCCCGCGCGACGCGCTCACCACTCCCGAGCTCCCCGGCGCCGGCCTCCCGAGGCTGTCCCGAGATTGTCCCCGCTACCGCGAGGCGGAGCGGCACGCGCTCCGCCTGCGGGGCACAGCGTGGCGCCGGGGCCGCGCGACGCGCTGCACAACGGGTCCTGCCCGTAGCCTTTCGGAGGCCCCCTGGCCCAAGAGGGCCGCGCGCAGCTCCGAAAGCTTACGTTTATGATGGGTTTCTGTGCATTGCCACTTCGTCCTCCTCCCCTTCCGCCTTCTCCCGCTTCTACCGCTTCCTCTCCTACTGCCTTGCATGCGCCACGTCGGCTAATCCTCATGTGTGCCTGTCCCCCCCTCCCCCCCTTCTCCCCTCACGAGCGACAACCAGATCCGTATCCGCACCCTCCCGGTCTGGATTCTGGGGCTCGATCCCGCGGATACGCGATCGTACGGATACGTTCCACGCAGGACATCCGCGACAAAACACCCAATATCCGCGAGGTCGCGGCCCTGGGACCCAGCACACGAGGCCACGCATACGGATCGGTTGTACGTAGAAATGACCTGTTGCTGGAGTGACCTCTGGTGCGGGCATGCTGGGGTCCCCAGATGACTGAGCGCCATGCGATAGCAGCGTCATACGCGCTCGGGTTTGGCCTCCCCACGGCCCCCTGAAGTCGCGCACCAAAGGTCACTCTAGACCAGGGCCATTCGTGCGTCTGGCCGAACGGATTTGTGTATCTCGAAGAACAAAAACGGCATAAACACTAATTGTTGGCGCTCTGCGCGGATGGTTAGGATCCGCGCTGAGTTCCTGGCGCGCTCCGCACGCCAGGGACGGGGGTCCAGCGCAGATCCAAGAAATCCGCGCGGAGCGCAAACAGTTTTTGGCTTCGGGCGTAGCCCAGATTTGTGTCTCCGGAGGTAAACTGATTGAATTGAACAGACTGGCCGCATCCGTTACGCGACTGCTTTATTATCGGCCGCCAAGGGCGCAACCCATGGCGCAACCGATAGGAGACGGTTTCGGCTTGCTGGAACGCGCGCCTTGGAGCGCGGCGTGGCGGCAGCGGCGTCGGCGGAGGCAGGTGCTTGCGCGGTCCACGGCGATGCAGGTGATCCTTCGGACAAGGTCGTGCCCATGACGCCCGACGGCCCCGTTGCCTTCGGGGGCCACTTCTACGACGAGTTCGCCGACCTCCGCCTCCAGGGCGCGGAGCCGCCGCGCGGGCGGCGGCGGGGGCTGCGGCGGCCGGTGGCGGCGGCTGGAGCGGCGGGCGCGGGCTCGGGCCCGCCTGCCGCGGAGGCTGCGCTGGCGGCTGCTGGGGCCGCGGGCGGCCTCTCGGGCAGCGACGACGCCAGGGTGGTGGGCGACCTCCGCTTCCTGCTCGGCGCCGCCCTTGAGGAGCTCGGGCGGCCCACCGCTCGGGACGGCTCCCGAGCGACCCCACGGGGCCCCGCGCGGCTCTGGATGTGCTGGCGCGCGCGCGCGGCGCGGTCGCGGCGGCGCTCTCGGCGGACCTCGTGGACGACGGCGGCGCCCCGCCGTGCGGCTCCTCTGCGGGGCGGCAGCGGGCTGTCCCTCCGCAGGGCGGCGTCGGCGGCCCCGCCTATGGCGGGGGCTGGGCGCCGCTCGCTCGGCCGTCGTCGTCGGCTTCGCGTTCGAGGTCGGGCTGGCGGCCAAGAGGCTGGGACGGGCGCGCTGCGCGCTCTTAGGCTGCAGGAGAAAAATCCTCGGCCGCCGAGGGCGCAACCTATGGCGCAAGTGATGGGATAATGTTTTATTCTCAGCCGCCGAGGGCGCAACCTATGGCGCAACCGATAGGAAACCGAGCTGGAGCAGAAGGAAGAAGAGGAAAACGAGGAGGATGAGGAGGAGGACGACGACGACGATCAAGATCGGGAGGGGGACGGGGAGGCATTCGAATGCGTGCGGGGTTACGCCCGATTTATGCTCGCCGTTTGGGCTGGCGGTAGGGCCCAAGCGGCGAGGTGTCTTGTGATTATGCAGCTGTTTCTTCTTCAACTCCTGCGTCTGGCCGAACGGATATGTGTATCGCCCACGACCCCCCCCCGTCCCCCTTGTCCTCCACCCCGTCCTGCCCCCCCCGTCCCCCCCCCGTCCCCCGTCTTCCATCCTTTCCGTCTCCCCCGCCCCTCCCCGTCCCCCTCCCCCATCTTCCCCCCTGTCCCCCAAGTGCATCCCGAGAGTAGGTGCGCATCCAACTGCCTGCGACGACTCCCGCCATCGTGCCAGCTCGTAAGACTATGTGTGGCGACTGGTCGGGAGGCGCACAGGAGGCCGTCACGCGTCACATCTCGTGCGCCGAGGCTTCGGAGAACCCTATCAGTCGCCTTTTGGCTTCTTGCCCGCGGGTCTCTCGAGAACGGAAGTTTCCGAAGTTTTTGTTTCCATTGCCTTGTCGTCGAGTTCGCCTTGGTGTGCCTCCTGGATCGCCCTCCTGAGGGGCAGCGGATTCCGCCTTCTCCCCCTCCGTGATGCCAGAAAAAAAAAAACAGATGCCACACGGCAGTCACATGTGTTCAGAGCATTTTCTTTGGGTGGAGGGCAAAGCGTGAAATCTGAGTTGCCGTGTCAATTGGTTTTCGAGGTGTGAAGCTGCAAAATATTAATCACAAGACGGATTGATTTTCGAGGTGCAAAAGCCATATGTTTTTCTTTTTGAGCCCTCCACCCTTAGAACATGCTCAGGTCCTCGTTGGGCCTACGTGGGCTGACGGAAACCCGTCATGGCGAGCACATAGGCTCCATTCAATATTCGGTCGGGACTGTCCTTCTAGAGGAGGGAGGAACAGTCAAACATAATCAAACAACATTCGTGGGACGATGATGATGTTTGTTGGACTATTTTCGTTTTTCTTCCAAGAACGGCCTGTAGGATGACATGCCCGACGTAACCCTACTGGCGTTCATAAGGGATGTCGTAGGGGCTTCTTGGGCCGTCCCACGGCCTCCTTGGGCCCACGTGGGCTGACTGAAGCCCGTCATGGCGAGCACACGAATATCATTTAGTAGCCAAAGGCGCGTGCATCATGTTGTCAGAACTCACCCCGGGAGAGGTCCAGGAGGCAGCGCCATCGGTGCCTTTTGAGGTCCTCTTTTTGGGGGTCCTCTCGGGACCCGCTTGGGCCACCTCGGGGGCCTCTCGGACTGTCCCGAGGCAAGGTCGGGTTGTCGTGGGGCCGCCCTGGGCCGTCCTATACTCGGAGGCATCAATTGGGCCGCGTGTGCGGCCTCGGCGGCCCGCCGGGGCCAGCCTGGAAGCAGGCCTGGGCAGCCGGGGTACATGTTTGAGCAGTCTGTGACAATTCCAATTTCTCATCCTACATCCGCCTCTAGGAGGACATGCCCGACCTGACAAGATGGAACGATGATCTGGCCATGGAAAGCCTGATACTTCCCCCGCTTTCTGGCCGCAGGAGCTGAGGAGCCCTTCCCCCGTATTCACGCCGTAGGAGTTGAGGAGCCCAAAAAGTGACGACAGGCACCGGAATCCGATGACCCGCTCGGATTACCAACATGAAGTGCGGGACCCGTCATGGCGGAGAGTCGCCGCGCAGGCCGCTGGAGGCTTAAGTTTTGGCCCAAAAGCGACGACAGTTACACGTTTCGGATGACCCGCTCGGATTGCCAACATGAGTTGCGGGACCCATAGGGAGGGGACTCCCGCCTGAGATTTCCTCACAATTCACTCACAGGCGAGGCTCCCGCTTGTCACTTCGATGACAGTTACACGTTTCGGATGACCCGCTCGCATTGCCAACCTGAAGTGCGGGACACATCGGGAGGGGGCTCCCGCCTGAGACTCCCTCGCAATGCACTCACAGACGAAGCTCCCGCTTGAGACTTTTTTCCAAATTCAAGCAAGGGGGTGAGTGATGACGAAATGATGAGTGAGTGGGTGGTACTGATGAGTGAGTGAGTGAGTGTGTGAGTGAGTGAGTGAGGTTGGCGAGAAAATGAGTGAGTGAGTGATGATGATGATGATGATGATGATGATGCGTGATTCAGTGAGTGAGTGAGTGAGTGATCGAGTGATGATGACGGTGACGATGATGATGATGATGATGATGATGATGATGATGATGATGATGATGATGATGATGATGATGATGATGATGATGATGATGATGATGAGTGGTGATGCTGATTCATGGTGGTCATGGTGATGATGATTAATGCGTGATTGTGTGAGTGCGTGAGTGAGGACAGGGGGGTGAGATCCTGCGCGGCGTGTGCAGCGAAAACGAGAACCCCACTTGGGATGTGGGGAATTTATGATTTTGGCCCCTGCGGGCCCACCTGGAGCACCTCTTGGAGGCCTCTTGGGTCGTATTGGGGCCACTTGGGCCGTCTTGGGCTATCTTGAGGCTGTCTTACGCCATCTTGGGTCGTCTTGGAGGCATCCTGGGGCCATCTCAGCCGTCTTGGAGGCCATCTTGGCCGTCTGGGATGCATCTTGGAGGCCATATTGGACCGTCGTGGGCCGACGATAGTTCAAACCTGAACGCTCCGCGCGGTGTCAGAACCTAACGCCATGGGTCGCCACGACACGAGCCCGCCGTACCAGACAGCCCTCGGCATGTCACCACGCGCCCGCGCGCCAGGGGGGCACGGTGACGGATCTGCGTCCTCAGCATGTCATCCTCTCCCTCCTCCTCCCCCGAGATCCGACGTTGCGAAGCATCACGACTTGATGCCTAGCTGCCGCACCAGATAGCCATTGGCACTTTGCCACGCGAACGCGCGCCATGGGGGCACGGTGACGGATCTGCGTTCTCCTCAACATGTCTTACTTTCCCTCCTCCTCCTCCTCCTCCTCCTCCTCCTCCCCTGCGATCCGACGTTACGAAAAAACAACATCGCGAAGCATCCCGACCGGAGACCTAGACCCAAGCTTCCCACGGCTCTTTCTGGGTTGGGTCGATTTGTGTTGCTCCAGGGGCCCGAAACTGGGCGATAGCGGTTGGTGCGTAAACGCTGCAACGGCCACATCTCAGTGTCCGCACTCGCCACGGCGGCTCAGGCTTTGTTCGAGACGCTGTGGCCCTGCAGGGTACACCGCCCTCCTGCGAGTGTTTGTCGGAGAAATCCTTTCGAGCCATGCGCGCGCACTCTAGCACAGCGGCCCTCGTCGGGCTGCTGGCGTTCTGGGCCCGCGCTGGCTGGGGGCACCGCGTGACGGTGCTCGGGCGTTGGCAGAGAGCGTCCCGATGCCCGAGGTGCCCCCACGATCTTGCAGAAGCCCTCCACGGCCTCCCTGGAGCTCAGTGGGCCCCGGAAGCGGCAGGGCCGTTTTTGCACCGTTTCCAACAAAAACGTGTCCCTTGAAAATGGGAACGGCAAAAAAAACGGCGACTGGGAACGGCGAAAAAACGGCTCCAGGATTGGAACCGGAGCCGGGACCGGTCAACAAAACGGCGACGGAACTGGTATGAAAGCAACGGCGTCGGAACCGGCAACAAAAAAAAACGGCAGAGCGGACCCGGTAAAACAAGGGGGCCCCGTCGTCTCCGGGGCCCTTCTGGGCCCTGGAGCACCCCCTTCACGAGGCCCGGGTGCCTCCAGGGAGCGGCACGTGGAGCGCAGAGCCCAGACCCCCGACGTCATGATTTTTTCATGACGCGACCCCCAGAGGTCCGGACCCATTCCCTGGGACCGGCTTTTCATCCCGAGTCGTTTTTTGACGGTCCTGAGGGCCGGTAAGGGTCCCCAGAGGCCGAAAATAGCGAAAAACCTCTCAGCGTGATTTTTTGATGACTCGAGGGGGTCTGGGAGGCCGGGGGGGCGCCCTGGGCCGAGGACGCCCCGCGCAGACCCCTTAAGGTGTCCTCCCTGAGTTCCGCGCGGGCCTCGGCCGAGCACGGCGCCGCGTCCGGCGCCAACGGGTCGGCCCGCGGGGACTGCTCGTACTGCCGCACGGTGACGGACTGCTACCGGTACCCGTCCACGTGCAGAGGCCCGAGGAAGGAGAGCAGGAGGGGGAGGGAGGGGGAGGGGGAGGGGGAGGGAGGGGGGAGGGGAGGGGAGGGGAGGGGAGGGGGAGGAGGGGGAGGAGGAGGAGGGGAGGAGGAGGAGGAGGAGGAGGAGGAGGAGGAGGAGGAGGAGGAGGAGGAGGAGGAGGAGGGAGCTAGGAGTAGGCAGGAGGGGGAGGGGGAGGGGGAGGGGGAGGGGGAGGGGGAGGGGGAGGGGGGGGAGTGGGAGGGGGAGGGGGAGGAGGAGGAGGAGGGGGAGGGGGAGGGCGAGGAGGAGGAGGAGGAGGAGGAGCTAGGAGCTAGGAGGAGGAGGATACCCATTGGTCGGTGAAAGCAGGTATTGCTTGGAGTCCCAGATTCCAATCTACTTGGAGCGCCTTCGTGCTTCCATGATCGAGTGGCGCTTCACCTTCTCCGTCCTCTTTCGGGGGCGGGCGGACACCCGATTTACCTTCAGCGCCTTCCTACTTCATTGTTCTACCTACTTCTTCCGACCGATGAGCACGCATTTCTGTTCTGAGCTCCGCGCGGATTTCTCGGATCGGCGATGGCGCTCCTTGGCGGCGCCTCTGTCGCCTCCCCTGGCGCGCCCCGCGCGCCAGGGAGGGGTGTCCAGCGCCGTTACAAGAGATCCGCGCAGAGCTCCAAGCCGTCATCCGGCGTCGAGACCCGAACCCTCCCCTCGCCGATCGACGATTCGGGCAACTCGATGGGCGGCTGGGGAAGGGGTCGGAATTCGTCGAACACGTGGCGAACTCCGACCCCAACCCCCGCCCCATCGATTGAGGATAACGGATTGTTCGCTCGGGGTATGTCGCAATGATATACACCACCGCCACCTCCACTCCCGCTCCCTCCTCCGCCCTCCGCTCATCCTGTTCTTTCATGGGAGACGGAGGGTGTGAGGGTGGTGGTGGTGGTGGTGCAGATCTTTCGGCCCCGTAACCCCACCACTCACCTTTGAAGCCCTTCCCTCCTTCCCTGGAGGCTGCCAGATCTGCTCGCAGGTCGGCGGCGACGTCCGGCTCGCGTGCCCCTCGTACTGCTCCACGCCGCGCGACTGCGTGACCCTGAGGAGCGGCGACGAGCCTGGGGGGCGGGAGGTGAGACGGCCGTGGGCGAAAAAGCACATCCGCATCCCCAGACCCCCTCGAGTCATGAAAAAATCACGCTGGGAGGTTTTTCGCTATTTTCGGCCTCCGGGGGCCCTTACCGGCCCTCAGGACCGTCAAAAAACGACTCAGGATGAAAAGCTGGTCCCGGGGAATGGGTCTGGATCTCTGGGGGTCGCGTCATGAACAAAAATCATGACGTCGGGGGTCTGGGTCCGCGGCCGCGCGGTCTGGGCCCCATTGGCCGGGACCCTGCAGCTGCGGGGCGTCTTCTCGCGGGTGCCACGCGCGGAGCGTCCTCCGCCGGAGCGCGTGTCCGCGGAATATCGCTCCCGGGAGTCCAGGCCGCGAGGGCGCGGAGACGTCGGGGGCTGGTAGACCTCCTACCCTGGCACGTCGATTGGCGAATTGGCCGTTTTCGGTCCGCGAGAGGGCGTCGCGGCCGTCATCTCTGCGGGTCCAGGTCCGTCGGTTTCGGTCCTGGGTTTGAGTCGGGCCTGTCCCTCCACAGGGGGAAAATTTCAAGATCGTCAAAGAACAGTCTGGGGACTACATTTTGACAATTGTTTAGCATTTTTACCGTATTTTTGTTTTTCAGTTTTCGTCCCACATCGACCTGGAGGGGGACAGGCCCAGCTGAATCCTAGGCCGTCTTCACGAAAAGATGATTCACGAAAGGGAGGTCTGTCCACCGCCGGATACGGATGTGTCCGCCGCTCGTGAGTCCGGGGCGGGCCTGCCGGGAAGGCTCGGGAGGCCGCGGAGGCCCCCCGAGAGCTCTCCTCAGCCTGCCCGGAGGCACGGAGAACCTCTCAGAGGGCGCAACAGCCTCCGAGAAGACTGGAAGCCTGGGTATAGTCGAGGGCCAGACTGGCAGATTGGAGTGGGCCCCAAGGGCCAAGCTGGCCTGGCCAATTGGAGGATTGGGGTTATTCGCCAGACTGGATTCGCGTTGGCTCCCTCGCCAGATTGCCCCCGTGTGCCAGATTGGGCCTGCCAGAGATTGGCGCCAGATTGGCTTCGACTACCCAGCCTACGTCTTCCTGGAGACACGGAGGACCTCTCAGCAGGCGCAAGAGCCTCCGAGAAGACCCGCCGCCCTCTGAGAAGGCCTTCTCCCTGTCACTTCCCCCCGGTCGCGCCGCCGCGAGGAGCACGTGCACGCCCGAGCGCTGCTCGCACTGCGGCGGCTCCGGGGGCAGCGGCGGAGGCGGCGGAGGAAGCCGCACGCTGCGTGCTCCAACCCTCGACGATCTGAGTGTCTAACCGGCGTTGTTTCCTCGAGCATGTCCTCGGGGGCCCACTTTCGCGTCCCAGATCAAGCGAAGATGCATCCTGGGCGAAAAATTGGCCCTGGGGAAGGGGTCGTGATCTCCGGGGCCGGGCATTGCAACAACTCGTATGGGAGGATGTCGGGTTGCGCGTCCCCCTCGTCTTCGTCGCAATGTAGGAAATCCTGGGAAGCCAAGTTTGAACTCGGCTCTGGTGAGCCCTATTTCAAATCTGGCCTGGTCCAGCCTGATACTGCCTCATCCTGCTCAACTGCATTCATCGGGGCTCATCCGGACTAGTAGGCCCCTATCGGGGCTTCCTAGTCCTGAGTCGTTCCTACGACGACTTCCCATCGTTGCCTCCTAGTCACTCGTCGTCGTCCTCCTTCACCCCACGCAGACAGGAGGAACCCGCCCTGGTGGTGACGCTGAGGCGGTCGACAGGCTCATGGCCGAGCTTGACGAACTCGTCGGCCTCGACAAGGTGGGCGCGGCCGGAATCATTTGTCGATGTCCACCCTACTGTCGTGGCGCATGATGATGAACCGTCTGCGTTTTATCAAGGTGCTCTGGACTTCTTTGGGGTGCGTTCGGCGAGCAGCTTTTCAGCGGCCGTGAAGACACAACCGGTGATGGCGCCCCTTGTGTCTCTTGGGAGTTGGCGTGCTTCTTGTCGCAGGTTCGTCCCGTCAGACGGGCTAGCGTTAGTTTCGAACTACCTTGCGCACGCGATAAAGAAACCGCCTAGCCCGAGGTGCTCTGAATATCCCATGGAATGGTCCAGCAGCAGGAGGGCCCAACCCTGAACTTAGGAGCCTCGGCGGCCGTCCGTGCTCAGGTCCTGAGCCCATGAGGCCGCCGAGTGGACTCACGGTCAAGCGCCCGTTCGGCGGCCGAGCCGCCACGAGGGACCTGAGCCCCTTCGGCTGCCAGCTCGCTGGCCGAACGGGCTCAGGCGCCGGACGGGCTCAGAGGGGAATCGTGGGGTACCTCTGGGCCTGAGCCGGCGCGAGGCCGCGCGGGCGCGGGCGCTTGCCCCCTCGCCCTTCCTTTCCCTCCTCTCCCTCGTCGTCGCCGCCGTCGTCGTCTTCGTCTGTCGTTCCCTCGTCTTGCCGCTGGGCTCCGCTGCGATGGTAAAAAATAGTGGGGTACCTCTGGGGTGCTGTGCCTTTTGGGGAATTTTTTAGGGGGGCGCACAGATGATTCCGACCAGGCCCGGAGCCCCGCGCTCGCCCTCTCCGACCGCCGCCACGGCGCCAGGCAGGGCCGCCCAATAGGCGATTCGACTCCTTGGCTGGGCCCACGATTCCGATCCGAGTTGACTGGGCTCGAGTCCCCAGTCTTCGCGGGCCCCTGAAACGGCAGGGCCGTTTCGTCGGCTGTTTGCAGAAAAACTTCAGGGAGCGCGCAGACGGTGAACAAAGCGCAAGACTTGCCCCTCGAAGCGGGGACAACAAGATGCTCCGGGGTTGGACATGGAACAGGAATAAACAGATCGGTGACGGAACTTGGAAACAACGGCTCCGGAACCGGTAGCACCGACAGCGACGGATTTGGGAAAACGACAGCGGCGGAACCCGCAACACAAATTGCAAAACGATACCCGTAAACTAGCGGCCTTGTCGTTCCTGGGGCCCACTACGTGAGGCATCGGCTGTGGCCAGCCGGAGCCAGTCGAGGCAAGCCGAGGTCGATGTGATTCAATTGGTTTGCGCCATTCCGCCGACCCCCGGGAGGAGTCCGAGCTTCCGACGATCGTGGAAGTCATCGCAGACGCCTGCGGCGAATCAACGCCGCCTCCTGCCTGTTGGAATCGCCCATGTGGCCGAGGGTTGTGGCAAGAGCTCTGCCAAGCTATCGCGTGTCCCCCAAGCCATTGTGGAAACCCTTCGGGGAACGCTTGGTGGAAGATGGCGGGGAAGATCAGGAGGAGGAGGAGGAGGAGGGAGGAGGAGGAAGGAGGGGGCTTCTTGGGAGTCTCGGGGGGCAGTCTTGAGGCCTCCTGGGAGCTTCCTGGGAGCCTCTTGGAGGCATCGTGGTGGCCTCCTTGGGCCGCTTTGGGGCCTTTGGGGGCTTCTCGGGGCCTCTTTGCCCGTCTTAGGGCGTTCCTGGCCAGAATGACGCCGTCGGAAGCCGTCTTGCGGGCCTCTCTGGGCCGACATTGACATGGAGCCCTCTTGGGGTGCTCCAGGGCCGTCTTGGAGGCCATATTGGGCGTTTTGGAGGCCTCTTGGGCCGTCTTTGGGCCCTCTTAGGCCGTTCTGGGGCAATCGTGGAGGCTTCTTGGTCGATCTTGGGGAGATGCTTGGGGGCTCGTGGGCCGTCGGAAGGCCGAAGAGAAGCAAATGCGAACATCTTTCAAGAAACCAAAAGGGATTCAATGATTTTGGCCTCTATTGGGGGGCCTCTTACGGACCCTTTGGGCTGTCGCAGGCCATCTTGAGGCCGTCTTGGGTGCATCTTGGGTGCATCTTGGGGCCATGTTGGGGTCTCTTGGGACCATCTTGGCCATCTTGGATGCATTTTGGAGGCCTCTTGCGACATCTTCGCCTTCGGAGAGGCCATCTTGAGCCGTCTTGGCGAGTTGTTTGCACTCGTTGAGGTGTTTTCTGGCCCCTTCCGGGTGGCCGGCGGGACGGGTCGAAGCCCAAGGGGGAGGTGGTTTGGAACGAGAACCAAAACCAAACCGTATAGGGTTTAGCACGCCAGGCACCCTTGTGTCAAGACCACAGGGGGGCGGCGGATCGAAGACGCCTACGGCGAATCACCGCCGCCCCCTGTCTTTTTAACTTTTTGGAAGCGCCTATGTAGCCGACCGTTGAGGCCAGACCTGCCAAGCTATCGGAGCATGTGTTCCCCGAATCGGTTTGGAAAGCCTTCGGGGAACACGTGGGCATCTTGAAGGCCATCTTGGCCGTGTGGAGGCCATTTTGACCAATCCGGGCCTTCTTGGAGGACGTTTTGGAGGGCTCTTGGGCAGTCTTGGAGGCCATCTTGAGCGTGGAGGCCTCTTGGGCCGTCTTGGAGGCCTCTTGGGGCCGTGTCTAGGGCCTCTTGGGGGATCTTTGGGGGCACTTGGGCCGTCTCGGGCCGTCGGAAGGCAGAAAAATAGCAAATTCCACAATCCTTCCTAAACTAATGGGGAGTCAATGATTTTGGCCTTTTCGGCTCTTCCTGGAGGCCCTCTTGGGAGCCTCTTGGGCCCGTCTTGGGCCATCTTAGGGCCATCTTCGGCCGTTTTAGTGGGCTCCTGGCCCGTCCGACGCCGTCGGAAGCCGTTTTGGGGGCCCCTCTGGGCCGACTTGGGGCCCTCTTGGAATGCTTCAGGGCCGTCTTGGAGGCCATCTTGGGCGTCTTGAAAGCCTCATGGGCCGTCGTGGGGGCCTCTTGGGGCCGTCTTGCGGGCCTCTTGGGCCGTTCTGGGGCCATCTTGGAGGCCTCTTGGGCGATCTTTGGGCTATTTTTGAGCGCTCTTGGACCGTCTCGGCCCGTCGGAAGACCGAACAGAAGCAAATGTCAAAATCTGTCCAAAACCATAAGGACAATCCATGTTTTGGGCCTCTTTCTGGCCTTCCTGGAGGCCCTCTCGGAGGCCTCGTGCGCCGTCTTGGGCCAGCTTCGAGCCAACTTCGGCCGTCTTGGTGGGCTCCTGGCCCGTTTGGCGCCGTCGGAAGCCGTTTGGGGGGCCTTTCTGGGCCGACTTGGGGCCCTCTCCGGGTGTTCCAGGGCCGTCTTGGAGGCCATCTTGGGCGTCTTGGAGGCCCCTTGGGTCGTCTTTGTGCCCTCTTGGGGCCGTCTTGCGGGCCTCTTGGCCAGTCCTGAGGCCATCTTGGAGGCCTTTTGGGCGTTGTGGGGGCGATCTTGGGGGCCTCTTGGGCCCTTCTTGAGCCGTCGGAAAGCCGAAAAGGCCCACATGCCCTAAATATTCATATATATATATATACATTTATATACATATAGATGTATGTATGTATATATTTATATATATATATATATATATATATATAGAACGAAGGAAAATGAATGATTTGTGGCCTCTTCGGGCCCTCCTGGAAGACCTCTTGGAGGCCTCTTGGGCCGTCTTGGAGGCCTCTTGGGCCGTCTGAGACCATGTTGAGGCTATCTTAGGCCGTGTTGAGTGCATCTTGGCTCGTCTTGGAGGCATCTTGGAGCCATCTTAGCAGTCTTGGAAGCCACCTTGGCCGTCTTGGATGCATCTTGGAGACCATCTTGGGCTGTTCTGGAGCCGTCTGGAGCAGGAACAACCTTTGCAACCGGGTTTTCGGCTATCTCTCGGGACCCCAGCGGGACGGGCCGAAGCCCCAGGGGGAGTTCTTTTGGAAAAAGAACCAAAACCAAAACCGAGAAGGTCTAGCACGCCAGGCACCCCTGCGATGAATCGACAGGGGGCGGCGGTCGAAAAAGCCTACGGCGAATAACCACCGCTCCCTGCCTTTTTGGAAGCGCCTATGTGGCCGAACGTTGAGGCCAGACCTTGCAAGCTATCGGAGCATGTGTTCCCCGAGTCGGTTTGGAAAGCCTTCGGGGAACACGTGGGCTTCTTGAAGGTCATCTTGGCCGTCTGGAGGCCATTTTGACCAATCCGGGCCTTCTTGGAGGACGTCTTGGAGGGCTCTTGGGCTGTCTTGGAGGCCATCTTGAGCGTCTTGGAGACCTCTTTGGCCGTCTTGGAGGCCTCTTGGGGCCGTGTCTTGGGCCTTTTGGGCGATCTTTGGGGGCACTTGGGCCGTCTCGGGCCGTCGGAAGGCAGAAAAACAATACATGCCACAATCCTTTAAGAATTAATGGGGAATCAATGATTTTAACCTTTTCGGCCCTTCCTGGAGGCCCTCTTGGAGGCCTCTTGGGCCGTCTTGGGCCATCTTAGGCCCGTCTTCGTGGGCTCCTGGTCCGTCTGACGCCGTCAGAAGCCGTGTGGGGGGCCTGTATGGGCCGACTTGGGGCCTTCTTGGAATGCTCTAGGGCTGTCTTGGAGGCCCATCTTGGGCGTCTTAGGCTTCCTGTGCCGTCTTGGGGGCCGTCTTGGGGCCCTCTTGGGCCGTTTTGGGGCCATCTTGGAGGCCTCTTGGGCGATGTTTCGGCGGTCTTCGGGGGCTCTTGGGTCGTCTCGGGCCGTCGGAAGGCCGAAAATAAGCAAATGTCAAGAGCCTTCAAAAACATTGGAAAATCAATGTGTTGGGCCTCTTCTGGCCTTCCTGGAGGCCCTCTTGGGGGCCTCTTGAGCCGTCTTGGGCCAGCTTCGAGCCAACTTCGGCCATCTTGGTGGGTTCCTGGCACGTCTGACGCCATCGGGAGCCGTCTTGGGGGCCTTTCTGGGCCGACTTGGGGCTCCCTTGGGGCGCTTTGGGGCCATCTTGGAGGCCATCTCGGGCGTCTTGGAGGCCATCTTGGGCATGTTGGAGGCCTCTTGGGCCGTCTTGGGGCCTTCTTGGGGTCGTCTTGGAGGCCACTTGGGGCCCTTTTGGGTGCCTCTTGGGCGATCTTGGGAGCCTTTTGGGCCGCTTTGGGCCTTCGGAAAGCCGAAAAGGCGCAAATGCAAAAATCCCCCCAAAACCTTAGGACCATCAATGATTTTGGCCCTTTCGGGCCTTCCTGGAGGACGTCTTGGAGGGCTCTTGGGCAGTCTTCGAGGCCTCTTGCGGGCTTGTTGGGCCGTCGTAGGCCATCTTGAGGCCATTTTGGGCCGTCTTGGAGGCCTCTTGGGGCCGTCTTAGCCGTCTTGGAGGCCATCTTGGGCCGTTTTGGAGACGTCTTGGAGACCATCCTGGACCATCTTGGCCGTCTTGGACGCCATCTTGGAGCAGTCTGGGGCAGCAACACCTTTGCAACCTGGTTTTGAGATCCTTCCCGGGACCCTGGCGGGACGGGCCGAAGCCCCAGGGGGAGTTCTTTTGGAAAGGAACCCAAACCCATACCGAGAGGGTTCAGCACGCCAGGCACCCCTGTGATGAATCAACAGGGGGTGGCAGATCTCATGGCTTTCGGCCCAACCCGCCACCATGCCTGGGCTGTGGGTCAGGAGCATTTTTGATGAATGTGAAGGTCTATTGGGATGCCTCTCAGGGGCCTCTTGCAGGGCTCTTGGGTGCATTCGGGAGGTTTTTTGGAGCCTCTTGGGGGTCTCTGGAGGCTTCTTGGGGTCGTCTTGGGGCCTCTTGGGGGCGCAGTGGGTGCCTCTGGGTGGCTATTGGGGCCATCTTGGGGGGAAAGGCTCGAAATAGAAGTTCATGCCCCCTCTGGTGTTCTCTTGGGGCCCTCTTGGGGTTCTCTTGGGCCGTCTTGGGAGCCCCTGGGACCGTGTCAGAGTGCCCTTGGGCCGTCTTGGGGCCCTCTTGGGGGCCTCATCGGTCGTCTTGGGGCGATCTTGGGGGCCTCTTCGGGCGTCTTGTATGCTGTCAAGACGGAGAAGGTGAGTATGTCAAATTGTATGTTTTCCGGGGGACTCGGACGATGTTTGGTTTTTGTGGCCTTTTCGGAGTCTTCGACCGTCGAGGGGCTACCTTTGGCCGTCTCGACGCTCTCCCGGGGTGCCGTTGACGAGCTCGTAAAGACCCCCCCTAGACTTTGATTTTGGACCCTAGGCCTTAGGGGAGGGGGAGAGGGGGAGGTGGACAGCCAATCATCTCACACGCCTGTTCACCCCCGGCATGCGGGGGTCGGTGGATTTGGGCCGATTTGCTCGGGATCCCGCCGTTCCCGATAGGTTCCGATCTCGAGATGCGATCCAGCCTTGGCTTGCCGATCCCCGCGCACAAGGTAAAAGACCAGATGAAGGAGCTCGTGGCCCAGGTGAAATTCAACATGGAGCGCGAACGCCTCGGGCTGCCGGACATCGGCGGGCAGTCCCTCCACATGTCTTTCTTGGGGAACCCCGGCACGGGGAAGACCGTCGTGGTGCGCACCTGGAAGAGCAGTGACACCTCTGCGGCAGAAGACCGTCGATTTGGAGGGGGATCGGGTACCGATACCGTTGCTTTCCCCGCAGAGTTATCGTCGACACCACTGGATTATTTAAGATTCTGGTGATGACGCACCCGGGAGAGGTCCGGGGAGTGATGGTTTCGGTATTTCGTTGTCGCCCCCTCCCTATAGACAGTTTTGCACAGACCTGCTTCGGGGAAAGCAGGTGCAAGCACACAGTGTTGGAGGCCCGCGGTCGGGCTTCCCTGGCCTGGCGCGGAGGCCCCCGGATCCCCCCCGCGCGCGGAGCGCGCCGGGAGCGGCGCCGAGGAGAAACGCCAGAGGGGAGGCCGGTCCGGCACCAGCACAGGAAATCCGCGCGGGCCTCCGAGAGGTTGCGGTTGTGTGTTTTAAGGGGTGTTCCTCTGGCGCCGTGGCGCTCGGGGGGTTGCTATAGCTGCGCGCCTGCCTTGGTGCCGGGTCCAGGATCCACACGGGGGGAGAGCCTGAGACACAGAGATAATCCGGTAAGGCAAGGCGTTGGCAAACTTGTAGGGGATCCCATGCTGTGCGAGTCAATGTTGCTGGGAGTTCGTTACGTCTCGGCAGTGATGTTGGGGTGTCGGACTGATGGTAAAAAATGTGTTGGTAAGCGTGCTGGGGTTCGCTGCATGTGTTGGTAAAGTTGCTTGGGTTCCCTCTATGTGTCGGCGGAGAAATGTTGGGCGCTTGTTTGCTGAATGCGCAGGGCAACCAGTCGGCACAACAACATACGGTTACTTGTTATTTGGGTGAAGTTCGGGCGATTGGGGCTCTCAAAGCAGCGCGGACCTTTTTTTCAGGACCGCGAAACAATTCACTCTCTCGGGGCCTGGGCGACGCGAGAAGGAAGCCCAGCCTGTTTGGCCTGCTTTCGTCCACTGCTGTCTTGCGCCGCCCACCGGGGTTCGCGCAGCCTTGCTGCACCTCTTTGCGCTCGGTGTCCGGTGCGGTGCTGCGGGGGCTGCCCCGCCGCAGCGCCGCTCTGCAGTGTCTGCACTTCCTGTGCAGCGACGATCTCACCACCCGCTCCCCCGCTTCCCTCTGGGCCGCTAGCCGCCCAACCCGTCGTGCTTCCTCGGGCTCCGACTCGGATTCCTCGTGCCGATCGGTCTTCGGTGCCCCAGGGGCTGCAGTGCGCGCAGCCTTGGAGGACCGGAGTGGTGCCCGGCACCGATCCCACCCCGAGGCCGCGATTGGCTGAAGGCCGCGAGCGGCGACCCGTCATCCCACATCCAACAGGCCAGCTAGCCACTTGCCAGCGCATCCAATCAGCCAGCTAGCCATTGCCCAGCCACACGAATTCCATCCGGATGTCGAGTCCCAACTAGAAATCCAGTTTTGTTTTCAACTCCCTACTCGAATGGTCCTTGCAAGCCCAACTCGGAACCTAATGCATGTTTTAAACTGGGGGGGAGCATATATTCAAAGCGGTTCCCAGCATTTGCCGGCAAGTGCATTGCATGGCGCAGAGGAGTATCCAAAAGGGGACCCCGAAATTGCGTGTTTCGATTGTTTGATTTGAAAGCGCATGTTGTGGGCGCTTGGAGGGGGGGAGTCGGAAGTGGATCCCCACACCATGGATTGAAGGGGGGGGGTCGAACCCCCCTCCCCCCCACCCTCTCCCGTAGTGGTTGTGATGGTGGTGGTAGCAGTTGTGGTTGTGGGTGGTGGGTTCTGCTGGTGGTGGTGATGGTGGTGGTGGCTGTGAAGCTGGTTGTTGTGGTGCTGTGGTGGGTGGTTTGTTATGGTGGGTTGTGGGGTGGTGGTGGCGGTGGTGGTGGTGGTGGTGATGGTGGTGTGGTGGTTTGTCGTGGTGTTGGTGGGTTGTTGTGGTGGTAGTGATGATGGTGGTGGCGGTGGTGGTGGTAGTTGTAGTGTGGTATTTTGTGGTGGTGGTGGTGGCGGTGGTGGTGGTGGTTTGTGGCGGTGGTTGTGGTGGGGCTGGTGGTGGTGGCGGCGGCGGTGGTGGTTGTGTTGTGGTGAGTTGTAGTGGTGGTGGTAGATTGTTGTGGTGGTGGAGGTGGTGGTTGTGGCGGTGGTGGTGATGGTTTGTGGTGGTTTGTGGTGGTTGTGGTGGTGGTTGTGTGGTGGTTAGAGACGGTTGTGCTGGTGTAGTGGTTTGTGGTGGTTGCGGTGGTGGGTTGTGGTGGTGGTAGTGGTTGTGGTGGTGGTGGTGTTGGCGGTGTTGTGGATTGTGGTGGTGGTGGTGGCAGTGGTCGTGGTTTGTTGTGAGAGTAGTGGTGGTGGGTTGTTGTGGTGGTGCTGCTGCCTGTGGTGGTGGTGGTTGTGAGGTGGTTCGTGGTGGTGGTGGGTTGTGGTGGTGGTGGTAGTGGTGGCGGCGGTGGTGGTGGTGGCGTGCTAGTTTGTGGTTGTGGCGGTGGTGGTGGTTGTGGTTTGTGGCGGTCTGTGGTGATGGTGATGGTGCTGGTGGTGGTTGTGTGATGGTGGGTGGTGGGTGGTGGTGTTGGTGTTGGTAGCGGTGGTGATTGTGGGGTTGTTGTGGGGTGGTGGTTTGTGGTGCTGGTGGGTTGTGGTGGTGGTGGTGGTGGCGTGGTGGTTTGTGGTGGTGGTGCTGGTGCTGGTGATGGTGCTGGCGGTGGTTGTGTGGTGGTGGTTGGCGGTGGTGGTGTTTGTGGCGGTGGTGGTTGTGTGGTGGTTTGTGGTGGTGTGGTGGTTGTGTGGTGGTGGTTGTGGTGGGTTGTGGTGGTGGTGGTGGCAGTGGATGCTGTGGTGGTGGTGTGGTGGTTTGCGGTGGTGGTGGTTATGGTGTATTTTGGGGGTTTTGGTGGGTGGTGGTGATAGTGGCGGTTGTGGTGGTGATGGTGGTGCAGTGGTTTGCGGTGGTGGTGGTGGTGGTTGTGGTGGTTGTGGGTTGTGGTGGTGGTGCTGGTGGTGGCGGTGGTGGTGGTGGCCGTGGTGTGGTGGTTTGTGGTGGGTGTTGTGGTGCTGTAGCCTTCGGGTCGTCCCGCCACCGTGCCTTGGATTTGTGTCAGAGTTCTCGTCAGAGGGGTCTCGTGGGCGTCGCCGGCGCCGGGGGGGGTTCGAACCCCCCCTTCCCCCAGGAGGGGAGGGAGGGGTTCGGGGAGGGGGGGGAGCTAGGGGGGAGGGGAGTCCCCCCAGTTCTGATCGACGGCGCGGAATGTTTAGGGGGCCGCGAGGCCTCCCCCCGGTTCGAAACGCGCCTCTGAACGTTCCCAAGGCAATGTCCCGTGAAACGCGCTCTCTCCTTGAGCTGGACAGTCTGCGTTCGCAAATACCCCCTGCGTTTTTTCTTGTGGAGGCCCGCCCGTCTCATTTAGGGGCTGGTTTGGGTCAATTTGGCAGGGGGAGGGGCCAGGAGGAGGGTCCGAGCTGCGCCGCGCCTGCTGCAGGCCTATTTGATGGCAGCGGCAGCGCATGTCGTCGTTGCCGCCCCCAGGACACCCGGCGCTCCGAAGAACCCCCCCGGGCCCTCCAGACCTTCCCAGGGCCCTCCAGCACTTCCCAGGACCCCCCAGAACGCCGCAGGACGCCCCGTGACCCATGGCCCCGCAAGGCCCCGGACTCTCAGCGCGTCCCAGCACTTCCAGCGCCCAGCAGGACCCCACAGCCCCCCTCGCTGCCGCGACCCCCAGCACCATCGACATTTCCCCCCCCCCCCCGCCAGAACTTCCCAGGACAACCCAGGATTCCCCTGTGGCACATCGTGTAACCGCAGAGGGTCTTTAATGATGCCCCCCCCTCCCCCTAAGCTCTCGGCGGGGAATAGAAACTCGTCCCTCCTCCTCCTCCTCCTTCCTCTCCCTCCTCCTTCCCCTCCGTCTTCCTCCTCCTCCCCCTCCCCCTGCTCCTCCTCCTCCTCCTCCTCCTCCTCCTCCTCCTCCTCCTCCTCCTGTTCTGGGCTCCGTTTCGTAGACTCCAGGGGGAGGGAGGACGACGACGAGGACGACGACGACGAGAGACGAAGACGACGACGACGACGACGACGACGACGACGACGACGACGACGACGACGACGACGACGACGACGACGACGACGACGACTTCTCATGACCTCTCATGCATCCGCCGACGAGAATAATTAATTTCCGACCAGTGTCGGGGTCCCAATCCGTCAATACGCCGGCGGAGCAATTATTTATTTTCCCATTATTGCCCAGGGGTTTCTTAAAGACCCTTTGGGGTTAGCTGGTGTCGGCGGGGGGGCATGTGCCGATTGCCATTCGCGTTCACAGTTTCGGGGCTGATGCATGGGCCGTATTGGCGTTGATAGTTTCGCGGCTGCTGCGTGGTGCGTCGCCGTTGCCGTTGAGATATTCAAGGTTGCGGCGTGGGCCGTTGGCATTGCCGTTGAACATTTCAAGATTGCTTCGTGCCATTGTCGTCCACAGTTTCGAGGCTGCTGCAGGGGCTCGTTGCCGTTGGCGCTTGTTGTTTCTGGCGGCCGGTAAGCCCGAACTTGCCAGCGACAGTGGCAACGGCCCATGCATTGCAACGGAAACTGGAACGGTCCATGCAGCAGACCTGAAATTCACAGCGGCAGTGCCAATGGCCCACGCAGCAGACCCGAATCCCCCAAGCCAATTGCAATGCCCCGCGCAGCATCGCCGATTCCCTCAATGCCAACGGCGACGGACGGCCCACGCGGCAGCTAACGACCCATGACCTTGCGAGGCCCAAGACTCCCAGCGCCGAATCCCCCGACGCCAGCTGCAATGCCCCACGCAGCATCGCCGATTCTCTCAACGCCAGTGGCGACGCCCTACGCTGCAGCTGACGACCCAGGACCCCAGGACCCCGCCAGGCCCCAAGACTCCCCGCTTATCCCAGCACCTCCAGCGCCCAGCAGGACCCCACAGCTCCCCCCGCCAACGCGACTCCCAGCACCATTGACGTTCCTCCTCCTCCTCCTCCTCCTCCTCCTCCTCCTCCTTCTCCTCCTCTTCCTCCTTCCCAGGACAACCCAGGACTCCCCAACGCCATCGGCGACGCCCCACGCGGCCGCCAACGCCCCCTCCCCACTCTCTTTGCTGTTCGCCAGCTGTGGAAGGAACGGCGCTCTTTCCCGACGTCGTTTCGCTCGCAACACGTTTGCGACCAGATTGCCCCGGCTTGCCGCTCCAGCCTGCCCATCAACGGCACCGTAACGGGTACTTACTAACGGGTACTTTGAATTTTTGCCGAAAGTTGCCACTTTAGGGCCTTTTCTTGCATTGCAGCTTTGCCCACATCGGGAAGGGTTGGGTTCGCTGGGTCAGTGGCCAAAGTACCCGTTAGTGGAGTCCCCGTTTGAGGGGCGCTGAGCCCATCGCGGAACTCTTCCATACGTCCGAGCGTTTCCCCCCTCCTCCCCTCGCGCGGCCGCCCTCGTCGTCGTCCTTCCCCTCTTGCGCGCGGGGCGATCCGCCTCTCGGTTGCCCCCGCCTCGTCCCGCGCCGGTGCGGGCTGCCTATGCCTCGCCGCCGACGAAGAAAATTTCAGGAGGGAAAGAAACACACAGACACAATTAATCGTCGATTCCCCAGAAAATATGGGAAAATATGGGAAGTGGGGGGAAGACAGAAATCCAGAAAATATGGGAAAATATGGTGAATATTTTTATTTGTGTGTATTTATTTGTGTGTCCTGGGGCCACTTCAAAATTGTGCGACCAGTCCTTGCAACACATGAGCTGTTGCGGTAGTGTTCGGTCGGGCCTGTCCCTCTACAGGGGGGAACACTCAAAAACAGTTACACAATAGTCCAGAGACGATGTTGTGACTATGTTTGTCCGTGGGGGGGTTGTGTGTCTTCTGCGTGTTTGTTTTTCGTCGAGAATCCCCCTGCAGGGGGACACGCCCGACTTCAGGGTAGTGGTGGTCCGAGGCGGCCCCCCCCCCCCCCCGCGTGGAGCCCAGGGCGGGCCCGGCCAGGATCGGGGCACGCGCACAGGCGGCGCCCTCCTAGGCTTGAGTTCGGGCGCGTCCTTCTACAGTCGGGGCGTTGACCTAAGGAACCCTAAATAAGGAACGAGGCCCCTTTTCTCCATAAGTTAAACTTCGATTTCCGATCGAAAACATAAGGAACACCTGAGGCAAGCTGTGAAACACTTCAGGAACGCGGAGCCCCTCCCCAACGAAAAGGGTTCCTTCTTCAGGGCCCCGACTGTACAGGAGGGATATCCAAGGACAGGAGACAAAGTACTACGGGGATGACTGTTGGGGACTTTTCGCAGATTTGTTGATATATTGCGAAGGCCTTACGGCCGGTGCCGCCGACCCTGGAGGACGTGCAGTACTTGCGGGGGGGGCGTCGTATCTGAGTGGCGCCCCCCCCCCGGGACCCCCCCCGGGGACCCCCCCGCTACCCCCCCCCCCTCCCGGCGGGGGAGGGATCAAAGGGAAGGGGCTTCCCTTCGACTCAAATACGACGTTGCTGAAGTTCATTTGGGCTGGCGCGCTTGAGCAGGGGCCCCTGCTGGGAAAGAGGACGGGAGTGGCGACGGGCCCACGGAAAGGGAGGCGCAAGGAAGGGGGACGACAGAGACGACGACCAACGAACAACGGGGATGACGTCTCGAACGGAAAAGCCCCTCACACACGCCGACAGGGTCCTACGGGGATGACTGTTGGGGACTTTTCGCAGATTTGTCGATATATTTCGACTGGTCTCGATGTTTCCGCGCATCCGCCCGTGGGGGGACCTGCCCGACCGAATCCCAGGCGCGCATCGTCGGGGAGCTCATGGTGGCCATGGGGGCCATCAAGCCGGCCGGGGGCAGGAAGGAGAAGGACGACATCGTGGTGGAGGTGAGCCGCGCCGACCTCGTGGCCGAGTACACGGGGCAGACAGCGCCGAAGGTGAAGCAGGCAGCCGGTCGACGAAAAAGCAAAAATACCCCCAAAATAATAAAAAATAATCCAAAAAATAGTGCGGGGACTATTTTTTGAGTATTTGTTGCCCGTTTTGGAATATTTTGTGGATATTTTTTATTTTTCGTCGAAAATCCCCCTGTAGGGGGACAGGCCCGACTTAAGGCTACGCGCAGAGGGGGTGGGGGGGGGAGAGGGCTTCTTAGAAGACCCTTGCTTCTTAGAGGGCGGGGGCTTTGTCTAGAGATGTGCGGCCGGCGCCTGCTAAGCAGCAGCCCCCTCATGAGACGCCTTCCCCCTTCCCTCCACCTCCCTTGTGCGCGCCGCCAAGCCAGGGAGCGCCAAACCTACACGACACCAAGACTGGCCAGGCCAGTGCGTCGTCCGGGGTCCTGTGCGTGCGCCCTCGTGGCTTGGCCAGGACGGCGCATGCCTCGAGCCAGTGGCCCAGAGCGGGCCCGGCGAGGGACCGGGGCGCGGGTGTGCAGTTGGCGTGCTCCGAGGCCGTGCAGAAGGCCCTGGGAGGAGTGCTCTTCATCGACGAGGCGTACGCGCTGGTGCAGGGGGACCTCGGGGCCCGCAGAGAGCGGAAGACCCCAGGCACGGCAGGAGCGCACAAATTTGTGCAGGTCCGCGCGGAGTTCTCGTGTCGGCGTTGACCCCCCCCCCTAGCGTTTCGCCTCTGTCTCCGAAGTTCGAAGAAGAAGAAGAAGAAGAAGAAGAATATAAAAAGAAGAAGCAGCACCATCAGCAGAAACTTTTGGCGCTCCGCGGGGAAGTCTTGGATCCGCGCTGGGCCCCCGGCGGCGCCTCCGGCGCCTCCAGATCCGCGCTCCGCACGCCAGGGAGGGGGGTCGAGCGCAGATCCAAGAAATCCGCGCGGAGCGCCACAAGTTTATGTTCATGGCGTTTTTCCTTCTTCTATCACTTCATCCCAGGATGTACCAGGGGACCACCAGACGCTTTGGGGCAACGCGGGGAGTCCTGGGATCGACAGCGCATGATGGTTCACCTGCTCAAGAAAAAGAGGACTAGCGGACAAACATAGACTTTCGGAGGTCCGCGCGCATTTGTTGGGTCGACGCTGACCCACCCTCCCCTGTCGCGCGAGGCGCTCCCAGGGGGGGCGCCAGAGGTTCCGCTAGGGGGGGGAGCAGGACGAAACGTAACCTTAGGGACCTCTGAACGTTTATGCGTCTGCTTGTTCTCTGTGCCTCCAGGGCGTTTCTCGTCGCGAGGCCGGTTTCCACTTCGGATGTCTGGTCGGAACGCCCCTCGGAGGAGGTCCGGGGAGGCGTTTTTTTCTCGGGGGAGGGTGTCGGGGGGGATCGTTCCAGGGGGGGAGAGCCATCGACCACTGATCGCCCATGCATCGCCGATCTGGTTTTCGGATGCCCCGCCCTGCCCTGCCCAGCTGTCGGAGGCACATCGCCGCTCCACCGCCGATCTGCGGCGACGTATCGCCGATTGTGGGCCGATGTGTCTGCCTCGGTGTCATCTCCCCCCCCCCTCACCGTCTCACGTCTGAGGATCGCGACTCCTTCGGGAACGAGGCCGTGGACACGCTGATCAAGGAAATGGAGGACAACCGCGACAAGCTGATCGTGATCCTCGCAGGGTACCAGACGGAGATGGCGACGTTCCTGGCCGCGAACCCGGGCTTCAAGTCCCGCGTGGCGTTCCACTTCGCGTTCCCCGACTACACCTGCGACGAGCTGGTGCAGATCGGAGTTCGGCGGCGCGAAGAAGGGGAGGAGGAGGAGGAGGAGGAGGAGGAGGAGGAGGAGGAGGAGGAGGAGGAGGAGGAGGAGGAGGAGGAGGAGGAGGAGGAGGAGGGAGGAGGGGAGGAGGAGGAGGAGGAGGAGGAGGAGGGAGGAGGAGGAGGAGGGAGGGAGGGATGGGGGCCGAGGGCTGCCCTCACAGGGCAGCGCGGTGTGCACCTGGAAGGGGCACTGCTCGGAGGCTTCCGGGAAGGTGCCCCAGAAGCCACTGGTGCCATCTTCGAAGCCCCCACGCTTCCTTCCAGGACTCCCAGATGGGGGCGTGGCAGTTGGGGTCTGAGGAGCGCCCCGCGTCGCCGATGCGTCGGCGGATGCGGCTCGATGTGGAGCCTGATCTTCTCCACGCCACCGTCGCAGATCCATCGCCGTCGTCGCCGACGCAGCTACGCCGGCGATGCACCGGCGATGCGATGCGATTCTCGGGCCCACCCTCCTCGGACCCCACTTAGGAGGCCTCCATTCTCAGAGGGCCACTCCACGTTTAATCGAAGCCCGTCCTCTCTTGACCAGGGCATCTCAGCCCCACCAGACCACCCCTCCAGGTGGGGGTGGGCCCCGCCAAACCCGAAGGAAAAGGCATGCCCCAAACCGAGTTGGGTAAGTCGGCCAGAGGGGCCCAGGCCACGCCAGTTGGGATAGGGATCGCTTCAACGATGCTCAACCCCACCCTTTCAACTGCGACCCGACGTCCGATCGTGAAAATCACGACCAGAGCCCTAGGCCCCATCCTTCTGACCGATGTGAAGCCCTGCGACAGCACCAGCTGCGCCAAACATGCAACGCCAAGAGAGTCGGGCCAGCCCCCGCCTGTGTTCAAATCCTCGATTCCCGAGAAAATATGGGAAAATATGGGGACTATTTTTATTTGTGTGTATTTATTTGTGTGTCCTAATTTCCCTTCATGTGTGCGCCGCCGAGGAGAGCTGCTGCTCTCGAAGAAGAACGTGGGCATCGTCCCCGAGCCGCCCACGGACGGCCAGGCGTCCGCCTGCTACCCGCCCGCGGGCGTGCCCGTGCCCGCCTCCTGCGGCTGGCTGCGGTCGGGGGTGCGGCTGCGCACCGGGTGCTGCGAGACGAAGGAGCCGAGGTGGGGACTTGCCGATCACCACTGCCTGGAGCATCTCAGAGCGTGAATTACCTACCCCGCTTTCGCTTCCAGACAAAACCAAGTCATACCACGCGCCTCCTCGTCAAGCGACCTGACCAGTACGGGCCGTAGTTTGGCATCTTTTGGTATCTCTTGGAAGCGAGGGTGGTCAAAAGCGTCAAAAGCGAGGTAGGTTTGTTTTCCCCCTAGCATCGGTCGTCCCCAGGCCTCCCAAAGTCAATCCGGGTCCGAGCAGGAGGGGTCGACGGATCGCTCCACGTCGCCGATGCAGCGTCGATGCGGGGCGCGGTCCCCCGACCCCATCTACTCGGAGCTCGTTTGGGAGGTTCCTATCTTCGGGGACCTCAGGGTGGGTATCCATATCCACTGCCCCCCCTGGAGTCCCAGGACATCGGCTCTCCAGTCGGGAACGACGGAAAAGGCCCCGCCTCGCAGAGGACTGCGGCAGGCAGGAGAACCGAGCGAACGGCAACGGCCGAACCGTTCGCAACGTGCTCGAGTCCTCCTACCGCAACATGGTCCTTGGGGGGAGCATCCTGACGCCGATATGCCCTTCCCCAGGGGACTCCTGCAGACACTGTTGCTGCCATGGCTGGACTCGCTTCGGAAGCGTAATCCGAAGAAGCCTCACGAGACGTCTGGGGAGCAGCGGGTCTGCACACCTGTGTTCCCCCAGGCTCGACGAGTCCTCACCACCTACACTCCGGGCATGCTGGAGGAATACCTCGTCAAGAACCGGCCTAGCGTGACTGGCACGGGCAAGGATTCGGATAGCAAGCACGGGAGCACGTACCCAGTTGCGGTTTTCCACGCGGATTGCATGGCTCGGCGCTGGACCCCATGGCCGCGCCTTTGGCGGCACCTTTGGCGCGCTTCGCGCGCAATGTGCGGGGAGGGGGGGGTCCCAGCGCCGACCCAAGAACTCTGCACGGAACCTCTGAACATCGGTGTTCATGAAATCAACAAAGGATGCGAAGCCGTCGCCGGCTCTGAGCTGCGGGGCGACGTTCGAAGGCATCCGCAGCGGTGGGCCCTACATGGAGCTCGCCAGCACGAACGGCGCCGACGTGCGCTGTGCCTTCCGGCTGCTGGAGACGGCCGACCTCCAGGAGTCGATGGCCTCGGCCATCCAGGACCAGCTCTCGGCCAACTGCATGGCCGTGCACAAGCCGATCCACGTGAACACGACGGAGACCGGCGGCGCCCAGCTGTGGGGCGGCGCTCCGCGGCGGGGGGAGGAGGCCCTCGGAGGCGGCGGGGGGGCTCCGGAGGCCGTGGGCCGCGCAGAGGCCCTCCCTGCTCCTCGGGAGGCCCCTCCGAAGCCTGCGGGCCCTTCCAGAGGCGCCCTGCCCTCCGCTCCCCTGCCACTCTTGGAGCTCCACGGGCCACCCCCGCGCCACCCCCGCCTGTGCGCGCCGCCGACACCCAGACCCCCTCGAGTCACGAAAAGATCACGACGCGAGGTTTTTCGCTATTTTCCGCCTCCGGGGACCCCTCGAGTCACGAAAAAATCACGACGCGAGGTTTTTCGCTATTTTCCGCCTCCGGGGACCCTTACCGGGCCTCAGGACCGTCAGAAAACGACTCAGGATGCAGAACCGGTCCCGGGGAATGGGTCGGGACCTCTGGGGGTCGCGTCCTGAAAAAGTCATGACGTCGGGGGTCTGGGGAAGGAGATCTTGAAGACGCCAGGGATCCTGGACGAGGTAGACTGGGAGAAGCTGCACGACTCGCTCTTCGGCGGGAAGGAGTGCGAGGAGGCCCAGGCGATGCTGCACAAGCCCACGGCGACCCCAGCTCCCCCCCAGGGCGACGGGGAGCGCGACCCCGAGGACGGCGACGGTGATCGGGGAACGCCAACCACAGCCACACCGACTCTGGCCAGGTCCTGGGCCCTGGAGGGGGCCAGGTGAGGACGGGGACGGGTGTCGGTGTAGAACACCCCGCAGACGAGAACAGATCGTAAGTTCCATAAGCATAACCTTCCGGGGGTCCGCGCGGATTTCGTGGATCTGTTCCCCTCCCTGGCGCACGGGGCGTGCCAGGGGCGGCACCGCAGGCGCCGCCAGGGGGGGCCCAGCGCCGATCCAAGCAATCCGCGCGGCCCCCCGAAAGTGGGCGGTTATGGTTCCGCTCCTTCCTTTAGAGTTGGCGCCTTCTCAGGCGACGAGCTCGAGGATACTCCCTCGGCGAAGCTGGACGGCGCCAGCCTTGCCGAGCTCGCGACCAACACCACCGGCGGCGTCGGCGGACGCTGCCCCTCGGGCACCTGCCAGTCCAGCGCCGATTGCACCAGGTATCCCTCGACGTGCGGTCGGTGTAAGATTCGCCAGGCTGTCGCCACGCCCTTCGACGCAGGGCGCGAGTCAAGCTGTACTTTGGCGAGTTCGCGGTCCGTTTTCGAATGGATTTCCTTTTGCGGCAAAGGCGGGACGAAGACATAACGAGGGACAGCGAAACTCATCCGAAGACACGGCAAACGCCGAAGAGCTCGAGCCCTGTCTTCCGACGAATCCTTGTCCACTCCTCCGTGGCACTTCCACCGCGGGGGTAGGTCCGTGCCCTCAGCCGCGAAGTCGCGGCAGGGAGGTCTCGAGGACCTCTCGAGGAGCTGTGGATCTGGGCAGCTGGGCGCCGCAGGGCGAGAAGGTCTGAGTGAGGGGGGGGGGAACGACGATCTTAGACCATCCCCAGATGAGTGGGCAAGGTGGGACGCCGTGGCCTGGATGCTGCTGGACTTTTCAGCTCTACCGTGCGCATCGTGTCGACCCCCCTCCTCCGCTTCGCCTCATGTTTTCGCGATCGGAGAGCCCCTCCAGGGGCTCGCACGCAATATCTCACGAGGGAAAGTCTTGAGCCTCAAATGGTACGGTTGGCCCGTGGTTCACCGCCATCACAGCTCCCGCTTGATACCCCTTCTCAATTTATCAGATAGTGCTCTCGCGCGGGACCCCCTCATAACTTACACAGGAACTGCGGTCTCGCGTGGGACTTTCTCGCAATGTGGTGGCCTCTTGTAGCGACTTGGGTTTGGGGCCTTTTGGGGGTCTCTTGGAAGTCTTTTTTGGGGGACCTCTTGCTGGCCTCTTGCGGCCTTATGGGCTTGGATACTCTTGGGAGCTTTTGGGGCTCTCTTGGGGCCATCTTGGAGGAGTTCGATCTAAGAAGGGGGGTCCTTAACTAGCCCCCCCCCCCCCCAGGAGGCCCAAACGGGCCCAAATCCAAAGTAAATTCAATGATGCCTTTTCGCCGAGGCCATCTTGGACGCTCCAATTCCTCGCGGAACCTCCCGTCCAGGTCCAGGGGGAGCGTTTTGTACGCCCCGTCCAGATCCCATTGGAAAGGTGTGGGTTTTAGGACAGTTGTGTTGCCTATAGGGCTCTCTTTGCGGGCAAAGTGCTTGAACTCGGTTTGCCGTTTTCCTCCTCCCCTTCTCTTCTTCTCGTTTTTGTTTTTGTATGTTTGGGATGTTGCTGTAAAAGCCACCAGTCAGTCTCTGCCGCGCATCGCCACGGCGTGCACAGGTTACTCGAGAGATGTTGCGGCGGTCGTCCCTCTCATGCCCGTCCCTCTTTTCAGAAACATGTGTTCGTGTACACCCACCCCAGAGGCGCACCAATTTCATCAAGTCTTGCGAGAGCCACGCTGGAGCACCAGCATTCTGCTGGGAGGGTGCTCTGCTAGGCTCAGTCGTGCAAGCATGGACTTCATTGTCTCGGAGCCCAGCGCCGCCGTGGCCCCTGGATCCCTGGGAAGGGCCGCGCGCCACCCTGGCAGCGCAAAGACATCTCCGTCAGGTCCGTGTCGTGTCGACGCGGCGGCGACCACGCCGATGACGTTCAACGTGGAACGCCGCCAGGGGCCCAGAATCCGCCGGTATGGAGCGATCCGGAGGCCGAGAAGCCGCTGGTCGTGTCAGATTGAGCCATCCACGCGGTGTCAGAAACCAGGTCCAGGGTCGTCACGACACGAGCCTGCCTTGGCTCCTCGCCCAGACTGGCCGAGTCCGGTGCCACACCACGCATGGTCGCTCGGGAGCCTCGAGACGGGGGTCAGCCAGAGCGTTGGACTCTGTAGGATCCCGCAGAGCCAGGGATGCATTGCTTCGGGCCAGCGTGCAGCATCCTGCAAGATGCTCCAGGATCCTGCCGGGTCTGGCCGACCCGGGTGTGGATCGGCCCGGGTAAGGGGATGCCCGATTCGCGGAAGCAGAAGCCCCTCACTCCGATTCTGCAGGGGGCATACCGTGGAAGGGAATCAGCTTGCGTCAAGAGTGGGGGGACCACTCCGAAGAACCCCCCCGCACCCCCCCGGGCCTGAGTACTGGGCAGTCGGTCCTGGAGATGTGCGGCCAGAGAAAATCTGGACCCAAGATCTCCATCGCAACGCATTCCAATGTTAAGACCAGGGGGGGGAGGGGGGGGGGATTCGGTTCTTTGTCGTCGGAGCGTTGTTGATGCACAGTTTTTTCCTTCAACCGTATGGGGCCGCTCCTTGGCGGCGCGGTTCGGGGCCCACGTCCCTTTCGGACTGTCCTGGCTACGAGCTCTGGAACTCTGGAGGGCCTTCTCGGGGGCACGGTCGTGGCTTCCTTCACAGCGTGCGTTGGGCCTCCCTCGGGCCCCTCGGGATGGTCTTGGGAGCCTTGTGGGAGGAATCTTCGTTTAGGGTGCGATATAGAGCCAGAGGCTTAGTGGGCCCTGGAAACGACAGGGCCGTTTTTTTACCGGTTCCGTTTTGCAGTCTTTTTGCCGGTTCCGACGCCGTGTTTTCAACCGGTTCCGTCGCCGTTCTTTTACGGGTTCCCGCTCCGGTTCCAATCCTGGAGCCGTTTTTCTTGCCGTTTCCGGTCGCCGTGTTTTTTGGTGTTTCCATTTTCATAGGACACTTTTTCGGAAACGGTGAAAAAACGGCCCTGCCGTTTCGGGGACCCACTAAGGCCAGAGGAAGGTCGTGTGATAGCTTTGGACGGCACGGGCCGTCTGGGGACGCCTCCTGGGCCGCCTTGGGCCGTCTTGGGCCTCGCTGGGAGCGCCACTGGGCTTTCTTGGAGCCCTCTTAGGGGCCGTCTCGGTCTTTTGGGCCTTCTTGGAGCCTTCTGGGACTGTCTCGAGGGCCTAGACCGAGTGTCTCCAGAGGGGTCAGCGGATGTGCGGAGGCGGTCCGACATCGTCATCATGCAGCCCTACCATCTGCACGTCGAGGCACTTGTGCTACGACAGGCGGTGCACGGGCTGCTCATTCTGTAGAGGAGCGGGTGGCTCCACGGGCACCCGCTGGCCCTCCTCGTCGCCTACCATGGGGCCTCGCTGGCCCTCGCGGGCCCTCCTTTTACGACCACCACCATACACCGTGGGCGGCTGACCCATGGTAGTGCTCTGCTGGGCGCAGCCGCGCCTCGCGCAGCGAGGCACTGACACGAGCCGGCCGCCCCTGGTCCAGAGGTGGTGGTGGTGAGAGGCAGGGCCCACCAGGCCCTCCTCGTCGCCCACCCTGGCGCCACAGTGCGACACCGCGTGCACGTCTCAGTGGTGGTGCTCGGCCGCGAGGGACAGGTGCGGTGGGTGCCGCATCTGCCAGGCGGGCGGCGGCTCGGGCGGGATCGGTGGGGGCGGGGGCACTCGCCTGATGGACATCGAGTGCAAGGTGTGCGGCTGGGCCAAGACGAGCCTGGGGCACCTCGGGCGCAGCGAGCTGAACCGCATCGACGAGGAGGCGGCCTGCCGCCAGTTCTTCAGCGCCTCGGGGGTCCGGGGTGGCGACGTGGCGGGGAACATGAAGGAGTGCCGGGACAACCTGGCCAAGAGCCTCCTGTACCTGAGGGTGTATGGCAGCAGCTTCGACTGCGGGACCGCCGTCGGCTACATGTGCTCCTCCTCCCCGGGGGGCCGCCCGGGCGGCGGCTTCCCGGGCGGCGTGATCACGAGGCCCGACAACAGGCCCATCGACCTGGGCGAGGGCCGCGGTCCCACCTCGCGCCCAGGCAGCAAGGTGGACAGTCTCGTCAAGGAGCTCAATAGCCTCATCGGGCTTGACGGCGTCAAGGCTGGCATCAATGCCCTCCGCGACGCGGTGGAGTTCGACATGTGGCGCAAGCGGTTCCTCGGGGAGGAGTGGTCCCTTCTGGGGCAGAGCTTCCACATGCGCTTCCTCGGAAACCCTGGCACGGGCAAGACCGTGGTGGCGCGTCTTGTGGGCAAGATATTGGTCGAGCTGGAGGTGGTCAAGAAGAGCGAGTCGGCCAAAAGCGACGAGCTGGTGTTCAAAGAGGTCAGTCGCGCAGATCTCGTGGCGGGCTATGTCGGTCAGACTGCCCCCAAGGTGATGCAGGCAGTGAAGAGCGCCTTCGGGGGTGTGCTGTTCATCGACGAGGCGTACTCGCTGGTGCAGGACGAGAAAGACAGCTTCGGCCGGGAGGCCGTTGACACGCTGATCAAGGAGATCGAGGACCACCGCGACAAGGTCATCGTCATCTTTGCAGGCTACAGCAACGAGATGGAGACCTTTTTTGAGGCCAACCCTGGCTTCCAGTCGCGTGTGCCCTTCCGGTTTGAGTTCGCGGACTACAATTGCCAGGAGTTGGGCGGCATCGGGGAGCTTCAGCTGAGCCAGCAGAGCATCGAGCCGACGGCGACCGCCAAGGAGTGGATGAACGACGTGATCATGTCCAAGACTGGCTGCTGCACGAAGGCGGAGATGGACAGCGGCGCGTGTGCGGGGGCCACGCGCGACAACGGCAACGGCCGCGCCGTCCGCAACATATTGGAGGGGGCCCTGCGGTCCATGTCGGTGCGAGCCGTGGCGGCCTCACAAGGAGGGCAAGCCACCAGGCAGCTGGTCACTGAGCTGCAGGAGGTCGATATCGCGGCGGTAGGGGGGCAGCTGGTCGCCGAGGCTCGAGCAAACAATTGAGGGAAGTACCGGAGGAGGAGGAGGAGGAGGAGGAGGAGGAGGAGGAGGAGGAGGACGAGGGGGAGGAGGAGGAGGAGGAGGAGGAGGGAGGAGGAGGAGGAGGGGGGGAGGAGGAGGAGGAGGAGAGGAGGAGGAGGAGGAGGAGGACGAGGAAGGCCCGACGCTGGGAGGTCCGCGCGGATCTCTTGGACCGGCGTCGGGCCCTCCTTGGCGGCGCCTCCAGCGCCGCCCCTCGCGAGAACCCCGCGAGTCGGGGAGGGCAGCCAAGGTCCAAGCAGTCCGCGCGGACCTCCTCCTCTCCCTCCTCCTCCTCCTCCTCCTCCTCCTCCTCCTCCTCCTCCCTCCTCCTCCTCCTCCTCCTCCTCCTCCCCCTCCTCCTCCTCCTCCTCCTCCTCCTCCTCCTCCTCCTCCTCCTCCTCCTCCTCCTCCTCCTATGCTGCCGTCTGTTCCTCTGGAGGCACTGCGCGGTACCTGCAAGGCCGCCAACCAGGCCGTGCCGGAGCTCGAGAAGCTGTGCACGGGCGGGCGCATCCTGTCGGTGTGCAGCTTCAAGGACTTGTTGCAGAAGTCTCGCGAGGACTGCGCGGGTGCCACGGCGGTGCTCGAAGGGCTCCGGTCGACGACCTCGGTGGTGGACAACGCGATGGACATCGAGATTTCCGACCCAAAAGTCAAGACGATTTTTGATGAGTTGGACGAGTATATTGGGTTGTTGACGGTGAAGCGTACCATGCGCGAGATGTTCACCACGGTGCAGTTTGCGCAGCTGCGCAAGCAGCAGGGGCTCGAGCCGTTGAAGAGCCAGAGCTTCCACATGCGCTTCTTGGGCAATCCTGGGACGGGCAAGACCGTCGTTGCCCGCGTCGTCGGGAAGCTCTTGGTGGCCCTTGGCGCGATCGAGAAGCCATCGAGCGAGAGCGATTGGATGTTCGCAGGGGGCAGCGAGGACGACGAGCCCATTTTTAACGAGGTGAGCCGCTCTGACCTCGTGGCCGAGTACGTCGGGCAGACGGCCAACAAGACGCAGCACTGGATTAAGGAGTCTTCGGGCATGTCCTTTTACAGGACAAATATTTGTATCGGTATACCTGTCTATCACATGTAAGTTTAATAGAAATATGTCAAAATCCTGATTTCTCAACGAACTAGACCCCTAACAACAGTTTAGAGCAAACAAATATTCAAATACATGCAAGGAATAGTCTGGGGACGATGCTTGACTGCTTTTGACTATTGTTTGGGCATTCTTCGGCCATTTCCGCGTTCCTTCCAAACTCCGCCCGTGGGGGACCTGCCCGACCTCACAAAGGAGTCTCTCGGCGGCGTGTTCTTCCTGGACGAGGCGTACGCGCTCGTGCAGGGGGACAAGGACAGCTTCGGCCAGGATCGGGGAAGCGTAAGACTCGAATAAGACGGAATTCGGGTTAGCCGACTATTTTTGACGAGCGCGTCCTGGATTTTGACGGTCCCGTTTCCGTGTGATGTTTGCAGCGGGAGCCCGCGTCAAATTTCAGAGTGGGTCTCGTCATTTTTATGGTGACCCCCGTCTGGCCAACCCGAGTCCCCCGTGCCCGAGTCTTCTGTCTCCCCGACAGGAGGCCGTCGACACGCTGATCAAGGAGATGGAGGACAAGCGCAAGTCGGTGATCGTCATCTGCGCTGGCTACGCCAACGAGATGGAGGACTGCAGAGCAGCGCAGGGCGTCGGCATGAACGCTCGGAGCTCCGCGCGGGTTGCTTGGATCTGCGCCAGGCTCCCCTCCCTGGCGACCGGAGGGCGCCAGGGGCGGCGCCTGAGGCGCCTCCAGGGGGGGGGGCCAGTGCCGATCCAAGCAATCCGCGCCAAGCTGCCACATGTACTTGCCCAAGCAGTGCTTGCATTGGGGTTTCCGATGTGTGCCACTAATGTGAAGTCGGGCCTGTCCCCCTACAGGGGGAGATTCGACGAACAATAAGTGATGCCCAAAAAGAATCCAAAAATAGTCCGGGGACCATGTTTTGAATATTTGTTTGACCCTTTGGGGGTATGCTTGGGTTTTTTTACTTGTCGTCGAAAATTGTCCTGTAGGGGGACACGCCCGATCTAACACTAATGAATGGGATGGGTATGCCGAGTATATTCGCCACGCTGCCGCCCGTGGCCACCTCTGTTGGGGCAATGCGAGGCTTCGACTCCTTGCCGCCCGTGTGTCGTCACATGGCCTTCACCGCACAGCTTTAGGTCGGACCTGTCCCCCCTACAGGGGGACTTTCGACGAAATATGAAAGATACCCCAACAATACTCCCAAAAGGTCAAGAAATAATCCAAAAATAGTCCCAGACTATGTTTGGATTTTTTTTTTGTATCATCTTGGTGGCTTTTTGTTTTATCTTCCGTCGAAACTTTCCTGTAGGGGGACAGACCCGACCGAAGCATAGCTTGCACCACCCACAGTGTAATAGTTTACCGGTTGGGATTTGCGTTGGTTAACTTGTTTATGCAGTCATGTGCCCCCTTTGAGAGGAGTTCTTCAAGAGCAACCCCGGCTTCAAATCCCGCGTCCCGTTCACCTTCTTCTTCGAGGACTATACGTGCAGCGAACTCTCGGAGATCGGGAAGATGCAGCTCGAGAAGAAGAAGCTGACGATGCCCGAGGACCTGACGTCCTACGAGCAGTCCATCCGCTTCTCCACCGGGTGCTGCGATCGCCTGGAGGATTCCAGGGCGCGCAGAATGAGAGGAGCGCGAGTTGAGACAACGGTAGTTGGCCTCTAGGGGTGGGGGGCACTCGTCGCCACGGCTGCACGAAGCTCGGAGAACTCGCGCGTCTGGACCCCAGGAGAGGCCCAGGGACCCCTTTTGAGCTCGTTGTCTCAACTCGCACATAAGCCTTAACTTTCGGAGCTCCGCGCGGATTTCTCGGATCGCCGCTGGAGCCCCCTCCCTGGCGCACACCGCCCCGAGACGCCCATGTCATCACCGATAGGGGACTTGCCCCCCCCTCCCCGCGCCCAGGAGCCATCGGCTTCGCTATCGGGGCCCATCGTTGATCTGTCGGCGAGGGGTCGCCGATTCATGCGTGATGCTCGCACCCCTGCGCTGTTCCCCCAGGATCGGTGCCTCTCGACCTGGAGCGTTCCTGGGCATCACTCCGAGTGTTCCACGACAGCCCGAGACGGCCGCGGCCCCGCATGCATCCTCCAGAACCTCCGGATCTCAGAGTTCCCCGGCGTGTCCCAAACTGGTGTTGTCCCCATCCCGGTTTCGTCTACGCCGCACAATCGTTTTTGTTTGTTGTGTTGTCAGAGCGCACGCGGGCCGCGTGCGAGCCCTACTGCGGCCCAGCCGCCAGGGCTTGCCGACAGAAGAGAGCAGCGGCGACGAATCGCCGATCCACGCTCGCTGTTTCCCCCCATCAGCTGCGCCCCCTCGCAGCCCCGCCTGGCGCGCCGCTGGAGGAATGCGAGGAGTCGAAGGACAAGGGCAACGGCCGGGCCGTGCGCAACGCCGTGGAGTCGAGCATCCGCGCCATGGCGCGCCGCCTGGCGGACGACAAGGGCCAGCCCGACAAGACGAAGTACTCGACGATGCTGGACGAAGACTTCAGGCCAGACGCTACGATGCTCTACGATGCCGTCGGTGCCAGTGCTCCACTATGATGCTCTACGATGCCCGACGATGCTTAGACGAAGTAAGCTACTATGCTCTACGATGCTCCACTGCTTGTACGAAGTACTACGATGCAGTACTCTATTATTATGCTCCCCAGAACTCCAGAGCCTTCACCCGCGTTGGCCCCGGAGGCGGCAGGGCAGCTGTTGTCATGCCCCGGTCTCGGCGTGTCTCGTCTGGTCTCACTTTCCTGCGCCGTTTTCTTGTTGACGTCCCCGGCGCCGTTGTTCTACCGTTTTCGTTCCCCCATGATTCGGGGGTCCCCAAACGGGGTGGTGACCACACCGTGTGGTGAGTCGGTGTGGATTCGGGGTCACCGCACGGTTTTGGGTCTCGGGCGACTGGGGCCTCCGAGGTCCCAAGACCGTGCGGTGACGAACCATGCCGTGAGGTCTTGAGAGATTTCGAGGTCGCCGCACGGTCTGTCACCGCACAGTTTTCATTCCCCCCATGATGGGGGCCTGGCCCAGATATTTGTTCCGGAGCCGCACCGTTTCCGAACCAGGTCCGAACGTCCTTCGGATCCCCGGACTGCACAGGCCCTTTCGGTGATTTTTGTTATATTGTTGATATGAGCATTTTTGCGTCAGTTGTCGTTGTCAAGAGGATTTTTTGAGGGAGCTCGTATAACATTGCCTTGCCGTTTCCGCGGGCAAATGAGGCCTGGACAGTTACGCTGGGTTTGATTCGTGTCGACGCGGCGGCGCCGCGTGCGGCCCGAAAGCGGCCAGCACGGAACGATTTGGCGAGCGAATTGCCTCCGATCGCGCAAGGCTGCGGAAACATGCACAGGGAGTGGACTTAGGTCGGGGTTTCCATTTACAGGAGGAATATTCAAGACTAGCCTGACAGAGTCAGGGGACAAAGTCAGGACATGTCTGTGGGAGGACATGCCCGACCTAAGAATGGACTTCCGAGCAAGGTCATGAACCAATGCCTGGGTCGTGACGACACGAACCTGCGGTGTCGGGTCTGAGGTTCCTCTGCAATCTTTCGGCTTTGGGGGCGCGGTGTGTGTTGGGCCCCCCTGTACTCGGAGCGCCGCTGACGGCACCACCACCGGCTTTTCGCCTCCCGGGACTTCGCCACAGGGCTCCAGTCCAAGGCGTACTTTTTCCTTCACTGCGACTTCGGCACCGCCTGATCCCAGGGCTTCGCCCTCTCCAGGCCTTGATGTGAGGCGCCGCCTTCTTTTGCCCTCCCTCTGCTAATTCAAGCTGTGCGCGGCCCGCTTAGCTTCTATCGGAAGAGGCTCGCTCTCGACCCGCAGATAAAAAAAAGTGTTGCCCCCCCCCCCGGGGGAGGCCGGGGTGTTCTGGGAGTCCCCTCGGCCGCACAGGCCGCAGTAAAGTGACACTTCAGATGACCAAAAAACGTCTGACCTTTTAGCGTCGATGGATCTGTATGTAATGCGGCTCTACATACACGTCCACGCATACATGCATGATCGCAAGCATGCGCGCACGCATGCTACTCACGGGGACGGGGGGGCCTCCTCGCCCCCTCCTCGTCACCCGTTTCCTGATCCACCTCTCCATCCTGCTCTTCCCGCTGCTGCTCCGCATCCGATTCACCATCCTGCTCTTCCTCCTCATCCTTTCCTCTTCCTCTTCCTCATCCGCTTCTTCGGCCCGTTCCCCCTCCTCGCCCTCCAACCATCCTCCCCTTTTCTCTCCCTCCTCTTCCGTTTTCCCCGCATCACCAGTTGTACTCCCTTCCTCCTCTTCCTCAGCCTCCTCCTCCTCCTTCTCCCCCTCCTCCTCCCCATGCGCTTCCTCGTCCTTCCGCCCCCCCCGCCCCTCCTCGGCGTCGTCGTCTTCCTCCTCATCCTTATGATCTGTCTCTCTTTCTTTATTTCTTTCTCTCTCTCTCTCTCTCTGTCTCTCTCTCTCTCTCTCTCTCTCTCTCTCTCAAACCCCATTCATTGATTTTCCTTGTTGCCTCGCCATGCCTTTTCAGCGACCTGTTTCAAGACGGCCCACGAAATCCCCGACCCCCACCCCTGTGGACAATAACTACAGTTGTGTATACCGGTGTGGTTTGTTTTGTGGGCTTGACTTAGGATGTTGTTTCGTGGTTTTGATCATGGCTTCAACAATTACTGTTTGATGAACACCATATGACGTGTTGGATGTGGCGGTTGCGGTGGCAAAAGCGGAGGCCCCACCATCAGCGCCACACCCGTTACCCAGTGCCGATGGAAAGGTATTGGCGGTGGTGGTGATGGTGGGTGTGCTAGTGGTGATCACAGCAATAGAAAGCTTATCCGCAATATACGGACGGGGATCGCACTCGCAACCGTCGCAACCAATTGTGCCGCCCCCCAATGACTTCGAAAGGGCGCGGGGGAGTCGGTGGAGTAGTATCTAAGTTGGTGGTAAAAGCAGCCGTGGAAGTACTAACGGGGATTGGCGGGTGCTGCGGTACTGGTAATTGGGGATCGTTTCCAGCGCTACTGCGGCTATCGCCTGCCACGGGCAGTGTTGGTCGCTGGACAGGGAGGGGGGGGGGGAGCGCTGGTGGTGGCGGAGGAGGTGGTGGCGGCACAAACAACAGCAGTGGACGCATTCGCACACGTTGGTGGCGTGATGGTGGCGATTGGGGAGGAGGCGCCTCGACCATAACCACAGCCACCACTGCCACACCCCATGTGAACGAAGTTCGGTGGTGTGATATAGGTGATGGCAGTGGCGGCGGTGATGGAACCAGCCGCACACGCACTGGTATAATTTAGTGGTGGTGGTGGTGGTGGCACTGAAAGCACCGCCACCACCATAACCATTACCCTCACCACCGCCGCCACCCCCTTACCCAGAACGGGTGGTGCTGGTGGCAGCGGAGTAGATGGCGAGGTGGATGCGGTGATGGAGGCGCTGGTGACGGCGGGTAGCTACACAGTCAGTAATGGCACTCGTGGACTTGAGTGTTGGCGTTGGTAGGATGGCGTCGCATCCACCGTAGGACCAAGAAAGGGTAGTGGCAGTGGCGAGTGGGCAGGATGGTGGCGGTGGTTGATGTAGTTGTGGTGGTCGCAGCAACCGTAGAAGCTACCGCACCTGCACAACTTTACCATCATCCCCCTATCTCTCTCTCTCTCTCTCTCTCTCTGCTGGCCATCCACTTCCCTCGATGGGGGTGCTGGTGATAGTGGGAGGGGGCGCATCCACCACCACAGCCACCACCACCAACACCCCCTCTACTCAGAAGGGTATTGGTGGTGGGGGGGTCGGATGTGCGGCCGTGTAAACAAATGTGCTGGCGGTGGTTGCATCCGCCCCAGAAGTGGCGACAGATGTTGGTGTTTGTGGTGTTGGAAGGATTTGCAAAACCGTCGCCACCTCTATTCCTGACCCAGCATTGGTACCGGCGGTGGCGGTGGAATGCCGCTGGTGGTGGTGTAATGGTTCTAGCGACAATTGTGGTGTAGCATCATTGCTGACAAACGTTGTAGGAGTGAGTGGTGGTGTTCGGGCGTCGTACAAGTATTACTATTCGTTCGTAGAATGTGAAGGTGTCGGTGATGGTGGAATTGAAGGGTGCCTCCACCAACGCCGCTAGCATCACCACCGCCAGCATCATCCTGGCCCAGAACGGGTGGTGGCGGTGGCAGTGTAGTCTTGGTTGTGGAGTAGAGCTGGTGGTGGTGGAGGCGTGGTGGCATCTGTTGCAGCATCAGTAGAAGCACTCGTAGAAGTGAGTGGTGGTGGTGGTGGTAGGAAGGGCCGAATCCACTAACACATCCACCAACACCAGCCCCTTCGCCACAGAAGGGCAGCGGCGGGGGCAGAGGAGTAGTCTTGTCGTGGGGGATCGGGCACACATTCCTTCAGTAGAAGAGCGCAAATGATTTCTACACGTTTTTGTATAGGGTTTCAATAGAAATCCTCTTGTAGAGGGTTTCGATACAATCCCTTGTTGTGAAGGACTTCGATCGGAATTCCTTGTGTAGAGGATTTCAATGATAGTCCTTTTGTCAAAGGATTCCAATCTGATTCGGATCCGGAAGCTCATATTTGCGTGTTCCGGCCCGCCCCAAAAAAATGCAAACAAATGCGCAGCCTTTCCCATGTTCATAATCTCAAGAAGCTCTCGCGAGCAGCGGTAAGCGTTAGCAATGTCCCCTTTTCAAACAATTCCCCAATTGTTTCTTTTTCCGGCTCCGTATCAATGAATTTGTCTTCTTATCGATTTCAAACGGATTCTTTCTGTCGCGGGTTACAAGTGGATTCTTTTCGAGGTGGATTACAAAGGGATTCCTTTTGTGGTGGATTACACATGGACCTTTTTTGTGGCGGATTGCATTTTTTTGTAAAGGATTCCAAATTTGTTTTTTTTTGCTGCGGATTATCCATTGATTCCTTTTGTGGCGGATTGCAAAGGGAATCCTTTTGTGGCGAACTACAAAGGGAATCCTTTTGTGGCGGATTACAAAATGATTCCTTTTGCGGCGGATTACAGAGGAAATCCTTTTGTCGAGAATTACAAAGGGAATCCTGTTGTGGCGGATGACAAGTTGATTCCTTTTGTGGCGGAATACAAATTGATTCCTTTTGCGGCGAACTACAAGGGGAATCCTTTTTGTGGCGGATGACAAATTGATTCCTTTTGTTGCGGGTTACAGAAAGGAAATCTTTTTGTTGCGAATTACAAAGGGATTCCTTTTGTGGCGGATTACAAGTTGATTCCTTTTCTGGCGGACTACAAAAGGAATCCTTTTGTGGCGGGTAACAAATTGATTCCCTTTGTAGGGATCTCTAGCGGCTTGAAAATGGGGGAGGGCCGCTTAATACGAGACAATTCTAAAGGAATCAGAGGTCGGCAGGTTTTTTAATTGTTTTTATTCTCTTGCACAGCTGTGCTCTAGAGTTCGGACATATTTATTTTCGTCGTTCGTCGTGTCGTTCGTCCCCCTCGCCCCCCCCTGTCCACGCTTCCCAGGGTAGCCCCCCTGGGCCACGGAACCCATTATTTTCGTCGTTCGTCGTGTCGTTCGTCCCCCTCGCCCCCCCCCGGTCCCCCTCGCCCACCGCCCTGTCCACGTTTCCCAGGGTGCCCCTCGCCCCCCCCCCCCCCTGTCCACGCTTCCCAGGTAGCCCCCCCCTGGGCCACGGAACCCTTTATTTTCGTCGTTCGTCGTGTCGTTCGTCCCCCGCCCCCCTCCCCCCCCCTCGCCCCCCCCCCTGTCCACGCTTCCCAGGGTACGCTTCCCAGGGTAAGCCCGCCCCACGGAACCCTTTATTTTCCGTCGTCGTCGTGTCGTTCGTCCCCCTCGCCCCCCCCCTGTCCACGCTTCCCAGGGTAGCCCCCCTGGGCCACGGAACCCTTTATTTTCGTCGTTCGTCGTGTCGTTCGTCCCCCTCGCCCCCCCCCCCCCGTCCCCCTCGCCCCCCCCCCCCCCCCCTCCCCCCCCCTGTCCACGCTTCCCAGGGTACCCCTCGCCCCCCCCCCTGTCCACGCTTCCCAGGGTAGCCCCCCTGGGCCACGGAACCCTTTATTCTCTTGCACAGCTGTGCTCTAGAGCTCGGACATCTTTATTTTCGTCGTTCGTCGTGTCGTTCGTCCCCCTCGCCCCCCCCCTGTCCACGCTTCCCAGGGTAGCCCCCCTGGGCCACGGAACCCTTTATTTTCGTCGTTCGTCGTGTCGTTCGTCCCCCTCGCCCCCCCCGTCCCCCTCGCCCCCCCCCCCTGTCCACGCTTCCCAGGGTAGCCCCCCTGGGCCACGGAACCCTTTATTTTCGTCGTTCGTCGTGTCGTTCGTCCCCTCGCCCCCCCCCGCCCCCTCGCCCCCCCCCTGCCCACGCTTCCCAGGGTACCCCTCGTCCACGCTTCCCAGGGTGCCGCCTGGGCCACGCCCTTTATTTTCGTCGTTCGTCGAGTCGTTCGTCCCCCTCGCCCCCCCCCCTTCCACGCTTCCCAGGTAGCCCCCCTGGCCACGGAACCCTTTATTTCGTCGTTCGTCGTGTCGTTCGTCCCCCTCGCCCCCCCCCCCTGTGTCCACGCTTCCCAGGGTAGCCCCCCTGGGCCACGGAACCCTTTATTTTCGTCGTTCGTCGTGTCGTTCGTCCCCCTCGCTCCCCCCCTGTCCACGCTTCCCAGGGTAGCCTCCCTGGGCCACGGAACCCTTTATTTTCGTTGTTCGTCGTGTCGTTCGTCCCCCTCGCCCCCCCCCCCTGTCCACGCTTCCCAGGGTAGCCCCCCTGGGCCACGGAACCCTTTATTTTCGTCGTTCGTCGTGTCGTTCGTCCCCCCCCCCCTGTCCACGCTTCCCAGGGTAGCCCCCTGGGCCACCCGTGTCGTGTCGTGTCGTCGTCGTCCCCCTGCCCCCCCCCCTCTGCCCCCCCCGCCCAGGCTTCCCAGGGCAGCCCCCCTGAGCCTCGGACACCTTTGTGCAAGAGCCAGGGCACGCGTGCCACTTGTTTTCGTCGTTCGTCGTGTCGTTCGTCCTCCTCGCCCCCACCTGTCCACGCTTCCCAGGGTAAACCCTTTACGTCGTCGCGGTCGTCGTCCCCCTCCCCCCCCCCGTCCACGCTTCCCAGGGTACCCCCCTGGCCACAACCCTTTATTTTCGTCGTTCGTCGTGTCGTTCGTTCCCCCCCCCCCCCCTGTCCACGCCCCAGTAGGCCCCCCTGGGCCACTTTCATTTTCGTGTCGTGTCGTGTCGTGTCGTTCGTCCCCCCCCCCCCCCCTCTGCCCCCCCCGCCCAGGCTTCCCAGGGCAGCCCCCCTGAGCCTCGGACACCTTTGTGCAAGAGCCAGGGCACGCTTGCACTTAAAAAAAAAACAACATAAATGTTTTTGTGCTTAAAAAATCGAAAAACCAGGTTTCGCCTGAGACCCCCTCCACACTTTTTAAATCCACTGGGCGCCGCTGCTGTGAAATTCTGAGGGAGTCTCAAGCGAAACCTGGATGTTCATTAATTTTTCATTGGTTTTTGTATAAAAACCAGGTTTCGCTTGAGACTCCTTCAGGCTTTCACAGCAGCAGCGTCCAGTGGATTTAAAAAGTTTGGAGGGAGTCTCAGGCGAAACCTGGTTTTTCGATTTTGAAAATATTAAAAATTGAAAAAAATACAAAAACCTGCCGACCTCTGATTCCTTTAGAATTGCGTCGTATTGAGCGGCCATCTCCCCATGAAGCGAATCCCGCATGCTCCCCCCGAGCATGCGGGAATTGCTTCATGCTGAGGCGTTCCCTTCAGAAGCAAACGTTTCCCTCATGCCGACCCCGCAACTTGCGTCGTCGCATCTTCGTTTTCGGCGTTGCTTGTTGTTGAGATGTTGTTCCCTCCGAGGGGACTCCCAGAACACCCCGTTCTCCCCCAGGGGTCCTCTCGTGAGACGGCGCTCGAGGTGAGAGGCCTGTCCCAATGGGGACAGGGCCTGGAGACTCGACACGTCGCCGTCGGCGTCTTTGGTCCCTCGCGCCCTTCCCGCACCCTCGAAGAAGGAACAGCGGCACAGACGCAGACACTCGACGGTCCGCTCGGGCTTCTGGGCGCGGCGCCGAGCCCTCCTGGCGGGGGGGGGGGCAGCGCAGAGCCAAGGTCGTCGGGCACAGGAGGGCCCCTGGTGAGGCGATGAGGACGTGGCCCCACTGAGGTCCCCGTCTTCGCACTCGGGATGGTAATTCTGGGCGGCTTGGTCTGCGACATCTGCAGAAAAGGACCCCCCATCCCGAACGGTTTTGGCCTTCCTAGCTCAGGCCCCGTCCCAAAGGTTGAAGGGTTTTTTTTGTGGTTGATCACAAGAAGTCCGCGCGGACCTCCAAAAGTGTACGTCTATGCCGTGGTCTGCTCCCCCATCGCTGGTGCCCTCGGAAGGGGGCGGGGCGAGGCGGGCTGGTCACGGGTCTTCGTGCTGGGCCCGGCAGGGGGCGCCCGAGTGGCCCTCTCGCCCTTTGAGTTGCCGTTCCGACAAGCTTAGAGGGCCGCCGTCATTTTAGAGGAGGAGGAGGTACCGATACCGCTATCCTCGTTTTCGGCCTTCTCGGAGGCCATCGTTGCCACCGCTGGATTCGCCTCGAAATCCTGGTCAGGACGTACCCCGGGATTGGTTTCCCCATCATCCTCGCCTCAACCCACTTGGCCCGCCGCGAAAGAGCCATCTACCTCGTGATTCTCTTCGTCATCGTCTTCCTCCTCTGTTTTAGGGTGTGGGGTTGACCTCGTCCGCGGGCTCGTCTTTGTTTGTTGGGGTTCCCCTCCCGAGCCGAGGCCGTGCAGCGGCTGCTTGACGGGAGGAAGAGGGCGGCCTGTCCCGAGCCAAGAGAGGTCGGCGAGGAAGGATTCGATTTGTTTTGTTTTGTTTTGTTCGGCCTTTGGGTGCCACCTCCCTTATGCATGGGAATCGGATGGCCCCCCTTGGCGGGTGCGGGTCTCAGTCAGAGTGAACACTCCAGCCCTGTCCTGAAGCGCGGCCTCACCAGGACCTCGAGGCGGGTTCTGCCGTGCCGACATGGGGGCCCAAGGATGCCCAAGCCGAAGCAAAACAAAAACAGTCCATTCCCTGCCTGGTCCATTTCCTGCCCCTGGTCTTAACTCGGGCCTGTCCTTCAACAGGGGGAATATTCAAAAATAGTTTTAAAATAGTCTGGGGATTGTTTTGAGTATTGTTCGACCATTTGAGAGTATTTTTCAGGTTTTTTTTTATGTTTCGTCAGAAATCCCCCTGTAGGGAATCACGCCCGACTTAAGACTCGTGGCACGGCTCCCTGGACCTCTCGGCCCCGCGCCATGAGCAGACACTTCATGCCGAAGGGGGCCTCTGGAGCGGGGCTCGGACGAGAAGAGACAAGGGCTCCCACGAGGGCGCGAAGTGATTCGCGCTTCGCGGTCCTCGTTCCTTCTCCCCCTCCTCCTCGTCCTCCTTTTCTCCCTTGGGGGGGGCTCCCACGAGGGCGCGAAGTTGTTCGCGCTTCGCGGTCCTCGTTCCTTCTCGCCCTCCTCCTCGTCCTCCTTTTCTCCCTTCGGGGGGGCTCCCACGAGGGCGCGAAGTGATTCGCGCTTCGCGGTCCTTGTTCCTTCTCCCCCTCCTCCTCGTCCTTCTTTTCTCCCTTTGGGGGGGCTCCCACGAGGGCGCGAAGTGATTCGCGCTCTCGCGCTTCACGGTCCTCGTTCCTTCTCCCCCTCCTCCTCGTCCTCCTTTTCTCCCTTTGGGGGGGCGGCGCGAGAGCTCGAAGTGATTCGCGCTCTCGCGCTTCGCGAAGCGCGAAGCGGGAAGTTGGGAGCCCCAGAAGAGATCCGTTCCGGATCGTTCCAGAACGCTCTCAGAGCGATCCAGAACGGTCTGCGCAGTCCGCGGCACCAAATACAGCCTCCAGAGCCGCCGGATCTCAGAGATTCTCGATGTATCCTCTCTCGTGGTTGCCCTTGCCCTGGCTTCGTCTTCCCTCAGGCTGCCAGAGATGCTGAGCACACCTCGCCGTCACGGTGTCGTTTCTCGGCGCCGGATGCCTCGGCTCTCGCCTCCCGGCTCGGCCCACGGGCCTGGGGCGCGCTCGGTGGCAGAATGGGGCCAGCTCCGTCGGCGGAAAGCGGCGCGAGCAAAAACATGTCTCTCGAGAGATGTGCGTGTGTTTCTGCGTGCAAGGTTTCTGGACGCCGGCACGTGCTTTCGCGATACCCGAGCACAGCCCAAATGTCAGATTGTCTTCCCTGCGGCTTCAGGGCCACGACCGCACAGATGGTCGAGTCGCGCCTGACGGTGCCGTGCGGCACCAACGGCGAGCTTCAGAAGATCACCAGCTCGGTCATGAAGGCCGAGCTTGGCGTCCTGGACGGCCTGCCAGGGCAGCAGGCTGCGGGGGTGGGGGGGGAGGGCGACGACGAGGGGGGGGGCAGCCTGCTCCTCGCAGCCGCGAACCGCGCCTCCCACACTCCTCACCAGGCGGCGAACAGGGCGCCCCGCGGCTGAGGGGGAGCAGGAGGGGGAGGAGGAGGAGGAGGAGGAGGAGGAGGAGGAGGAGGAGGAGGGAGGAGGAGGAGGAGGAGGAGGAGTTGCACCGAACTAACTAGTCCGGCGGCCCCGGCCGGGCCCGCAGCCGCGCAGAACGCGTCTCCCACATGTCTCCGCGCCCGCCTCGCGCCCTGGGTCGCGACGCCTGCACGGAGGCCGGCCTGTCCGGAGAAGGGCAGGAAGGAGGGGAAGGCCGCCTATCCAAACTGCCACCATTATCAAGTCGGGCATGTCTCTCTATAGGAGGAATCTCCTGAAACAGTCAAGCAGAGTAGTCTGGGAGCCAATTTTCCACCGTGCTCGACTATTTGTGCTTCTGTGCGTAGCATCCTCCTCCGAAAATCCGCCTGCAGGCAGACATGCCCGAAGTGATGTTAAGTCGGGGCCGTCCCTCTCCAGGAGGAGAGTTCAAAAATAGTCAAACAATAGTCTGGGGACTTTTTTGGGAGTGTCGTTTGACCATGTTGGAACATTTTTGGAGCTCTTCTTTGTTTTTTCTCCGAAAGTCCCCCTGTAGGGGGACACGCCCGACTTAAAACCTGCTGCTGCCGCCCGAGCCTGAGAGGGGGAGGCTCTGGCAGAGCGGCGGGGCCGCTCCGCCGGGGCGGAGTGCACATGTGCCGAAGGCGTCGAGAAGTGCGGCCTGCTCCCCCCGGCTTTCCGCCCTCGAGCAGTGGCGAAGCGTCCTGGCTCGCCTACAGCCCTTTTTTGATCATTGTTTGGCCATTTTGGAGCATTGTGGGAGTTTGTTTGTTGTTTTTTCGCCGAAAAGTCCCCCTGTAGGGGGACACGCCCGACTCAAAACTAATGCTACCGCCCGAACCTGAGAGGGGGAGGCTCTGGCAGAGCGGCGGGGCCGCTCCGCCGGGGCGGAGTGCACATGTGCCGAAGGCGTCGAGAAGTGCAGCCTGCTCCCCCGTGCCTCCCTCCCTCGAGCAGTGGGGAAGCGTCCCGGCTCGCCTACAGCCCCACCAAGCAATGTTCTAAGAACGCTGTGTGGTTTCCACGAACTCTTCTCAGAGCATGTCTGGTCGGGACCGTCTTGCTTTCACACATCGGGTTCATGTTCTAAGAATATCGTTTTTGTTATTTGAACACTTGGGTTCTGAGAGCATTTCGTGGTATGGCTATAGGAATGCCGGGACGGCCGGTCCCTGCTCACCTCTCTCGTTCCTCCATCCCAAGGCTCAGGTCGGGCACGTCCCTCCACAGGAGGAACACTCAAGAATAGTCAAGAGACAGACAGGGGACGACGTGCCGACAATTGTTCGACTTGTTTTGAATCTGTGTTTGACTGTTTTTCGTTTCTCTTCCAAAATCAGCCTGTAGCAGGACGTGCCCGACCTAACCGCTCCTTCCCTCAACGTGCTCGCGTCGTGGAACAGAAGCGCAGCGGATGCTGTTGTCCTTCTGTCTTACGCTCCTGGGTCCTTTGGCAGGCGTCGGGACCGGCAAGCAACGACTCGGGGTGAGACGCGGGCCATGGGGAAAGGGTCGGGACTTCTGGGGGCCCCGCACTCCAGGGTTTCCATCTGAGCCCGCTCGGCGCCTGAGTCTGTTCGGCGTCGAAGGGACTGAGGATCGAGCCCATTCCATGGCCGAACGGGCTTAATTCTCTGGACCCGGTCTGAACCGAGCTCCTTCGGCTGCCCTTTCGGCGGCCGAGCGGGCTCAGACGCCGAACGGGCTCAGAAGGGAAACGTGGGCCACCTCCCTCATACCAGTCCCCGTCCAGTCTGCCTTCCCTGCTTCGTTTCGGACATCGCGGATCGAAGGAGAGAGAGAAACGGCATAACCATAAACTTGTCGAGCTCCGCGAGGAGTTCTTGTGCGCTGGGCCCCCGTGGTGACGCCTCTGGCGCCGCCCCTGCGCTGAGCCGAGACATGTGCGCAGGCTTCCGAGCGGGTCTGTATGCCACCGGGGAGGGGTCCGTCTACGGCCACAGGTGCGACTTCTGCAAGACTTGTTTTTTTTTCTGTCGTCATCGCACGGCGGTCGGACGTCGGGCGTCGGGGATGTCCGCCCGCCCCGTCATCACCATCCACCCTGGGGTCCTGAAACAATATCTATACACCCACCCTTCTTTTCCTCCCCTCTTTTCCTCCTCCTCCTCCTCCCCTCTTTTCCTCCTCCTCCTCCCCTCTTTTCCTCCTCCTCCTCCTCCTCCTCCTCCTCCTCCTCCTCCTCCTCCTCCTCCCCCCCTCTTTTCTTCCTCCTCCTCCTCCTCCTCCTCCTCCTCCTCCTCCTCCTCCTCTGCACCCCGGCGGCGGGCGAGGCCGGCGCGCTGCGCACAGCTGCAGCCCACCTCCCCTCTTGAGGGGGCACGGAAAAAACCACTGACAACAATTGCGTTGATTGTGATGGCGACGAGATGGCGGCATTGCACGCTGACGCTCATGGTGAGAATGAGTCATGGTGATTGTAATGGAGGCGACACGGCCACGATGGAGCTCACACCGCATACATGCGACCTCACATCCGATTCCAATCGACCGATATCACTACCGTTTGCGTTGTCGATCTCACAGTCAATCTCATTATCGATCGGACTATCTCAGGAGCGACGTCTTAACAGATCTCAATAATGATCTCACAGCGAGTGTTGTTCAGTACGATCGGGACACCAGCGGGGCAATCTCGGGACATCATCGGGACACTATCGATTTCACTTTCGATATCAACAGCTCCCACTATCGATCTCACTGTCGATCTCACACCAGGTCCCGTTATCGATCTCAACGAATTTCACAACCGATCTCACTATCGATTTCACTATCGTTCTCGATATCGATCGCAGTACCGATTTCACGATCGATCTCACTATCGATCTCAAGATCGGTCTCACAAGAGATCTCGCGATCGACCTCACAAGAGACTTCACGAGACATTGTCGGGACACCACGATGGGGCACCCCCGGCCACGGCGGGGCACCCCCAGCCGAAGATCTGTTGTGATAGATCTCATTGTCGATATCACTCACGATCACGATCGATCACGCAATCGGTCTCACTATCGATCCCATTACCGATCTCACAACTGATCCCACGAGCTACCATGCTACCATCGAGACACCACGGCAGGACACCCCGAGCCACCGTCGGGACACCCCGCGCCACCGACGGGGCACCACCGCGACACCCAGACACCTACGGGACACCCCCGGCCACCGCGCGCCAGGGAGGGGGGGGGACAGCTGGCTCCACAGCCCCTAGCCTCAGGCTGGACGAAAGGGGGGGAATGGGAAAGGGGGGGTTACGAAGTCTGCTGCATGCAGCTGGTTTCGGCCCCACCGAGGGGCCCAGTCCTCGATACATAGCCGCCTCCGGCGCCGGGAGGCGCCGGGAAAATCAGCTACGTGAGCTGATTCTCAAACCCCCCCTTTGATATCCCCCCCTTTCGCCCGACCCGATAGCCGCGGCGGCATCATGCCTGTTGTGCGCCCACGCAGCTTCGCCTCGCACGCACGACACGAGCACGAGACAGAAACCGATTTGCCCAGTGGGGGGCTTTCCGTTCCAGTGCGATCTCCCTCTCAGCCTTCCCGATGCCAAGATGCTGCGGGATCCGTTCCGGCCGCGCCCGGACACGGTTTTGTCTTTCTCCACCCCTTTGTTTTTTGTTTAAATTCACTTTACGTAAATCGGGCTTGTCCCTCAACAGGAGGAATGTTCACAAATAAAAGGAATCTGTGGGGACGATTTCTTTAATTTTATAATGTTCTTTCGAACAGTTTGTTTTTCTTATTTCTTCTTCCAGATTCCGCCTGTAGGAGGACATGCTCGACATAACCCTGGCGGGAGGATGCGTTCTGGCCGCGCGCGGACACAGTTTTGTCTCTCTTCACCCCTTTTTCTTGCCTGTCCTATGTATCGATCGATGGGCGGGCGACTCGGACGTACGTTCTCTCCTCGTGCGCCCGCCTCTTCACACTTCCTGCGCATCCTCACTTCCTGCGCAGACGATCTTGAGCTCATTGTTTGCCCTTTCCTCCTGTTACTCGTTGCTGCGATCCTCTCGGCAGCACACGCATTTCGTAAGAAACGTTTGGTCGTCCCCCCCCCACAAGATCATGTTATTTCTTCTCTCAGTACCGCCATCGTCGATCGATCTCTCCCTCCCTCCTCCTCCTCCTCGTCCTCCTCCTCCTCCTCCTCCTCCTCCTCCTCCTCATGAAGGAAACCCTGTGTACTTTTGGTGTTGTTGTTTTTTTCTGTGGTTTTGTAGGCCCGAGTGCTCGCACTGGCCTCCCTCTCAGCACCCTTTCATGCGCCTCAGACCCAGAAAACCAAAAAGACACCTTGTTTCGCGCTTTCGATGCAAGGAAACCCTGTGTCTGTTTGTATTCTTTATATCTGAGAAGCAAGGAAGCCATGCGTATGCTTGTTTTTGGTGTTGTCTAGGATGCAAGGAAACATGGTGTGGCCGAACTCGCAGGCGGTACCCTCGCCCATTTTGGTACACCCCTCACACGCTTCGTGGCCCCATAGGGAGCTTCACCTAAGGTCCCATCCGCGGAACGCGCATGCGGTACCCACACCCATTTCGGCACACCTTTCACACGTTTCGTGGCCCCACAGGGAGCTCCCCCTAAGGTCCCAGAGGCGGATGTCGCATGCGGTGCCCGCACCCATTTGGGCACACCCCTCACACGTTTCGTGGCCCCATATGGAGCTCCACCTAAGGTCCCAGTGGCGGAACTCGCATGCGGTACCCACGCACATTGTGGCACACCCCTCACACGTTTCGTTGCCCCATAGGGAGTTCCACCGAAGGCCTTAGTGGGGGTGCCAGAACCCAACACCGCGAGCCACGAGGGGCGACAGTGGCAGCTTCCCTCATGGCTCTCAGAGAGCCCTCTCCTGCTTCTGCTCCTCGGTCAGGGGGGCGCCGTCCTCGTCGTCGTCGGCTCCCGCGTAGACGGCCGCGAACGTGTCCCTGAGCATGTCAGGCTCCGGTTGGGAAGCCGTGGCCACATAGGGAGCGTGGGCGAAGATGGTTTTCACAACTGCAGTATTCACAACTGCGTATGGTTGGGGCTTTCGCCAGGCGAAT